GGGAGAGAGGGCTTCCCAGGGTTGTTCAGGGGTCACAGGGGGCCACAATCAGCCACGCAGTAAGTGCCAGTTTGGGATCCATCAAATCTGGGGCCTCATGGATGCAAAGCGTGAGGTCCGGCCTTGTGTGCTACCTCCCCAGCTCCAAGCATCAGTGTCGGAACAAGCTCTCAGCTGATGCAGAATATGAAGCCCACTCAAACCCACACCAGTCCACAGCAGGACCCAGAGAGTACAGAATACGCTTGCCTAGCATGTGGTATAAATCCCAGCACTTGCATACAGTCCCCCAAAAATGCAGGCTGCAGCCCGAACACCAAGGAGCCACCAAAAGAAAAAAAAATCAAGTAAGAACAACAAAAAAATCAACTAGGTCAACATAAGCCAGCATTTCTCATTCAGAGGCCATATGGCCCCCAGGATAATTCGATGGGGCCACAAGTAAAACTCAAAAGCAATGAACAAAGACCCTTGGCCCAAGGCTACAGGGAAACTGTGATACATGAGAATTGAGAATAGGGAGTTGATCTGGAGGACACTGGGGAGGGGTGGGCAGGGAGTGAGGAAGAACAGGTCCGAAAGGGGCTGCGGGGAGGGGGGGGGGGAGTTGAGAAAAGCTGACATAGCTATGCTAGCTTATGAAATATGTAGCATTACAAGAAAAAGGAAATCGAAGAGCTTAGGCACCTGCCCTGCACACAGCCGACCCTGGTTTGAACCCAGTTACTGCATAAGGTCCCTCAAGCACCAGCAGGAGTAGTCACTGAGTACAGAGCCAGGAGAAAGCCCTAAGTACCACCAGGTGTGAAGGGAAAAAAAATTTTTTTAGTTGAAATTAAAAAAAATGTAAAGGTAACGGCCCTCCCGTTGGTCATCGATTTGCTCGAGTGGGCCCAGTAACGTCTCCATTGGAGACTTTGTTGTTACTGTGTTTGGCATATCGAATATGTCACGGGGAGCTTGCCAGGCTCTGCCGTGCGGGCGAGATAAAAACAATTATTCACTTCATTTCTTCTTTTTGTTTGTTTGTTTGTTTTAGGGCTACAGCTGACTGTGCTCAGGGCTTACTCCTGGCTCTGTACTCGGGGATCACTCCTTGAGGGCTCAGGGGACTATATATCGGGTGCTGGGGACTGAAACCAGGTTGGCCTGCACAGGGCAAGCACCCTACCCATTGTCCTATGCCCCTGGCCCTGTTGAACTTCACTGTTTTGGGGAAAAAAAATTAAAACTGTACAAGAGAGCTAGTTCAGGGATTGATGTCCTGCCAGCGTGGGGACCAAGCTCAATCCCGAGCACTCTGATCCTCCCCCAACAGCAGAGGAAAACCCGGGGCACCCCCCACAAGTGGCCCTGGTAGCCCCCAGACCACAGAGCCCCAGCAGTGCCACATTGCTGGGCCTGAGCATTGAACTCTCAGCCCACTGGGTACGGAATCGACAGGAGTGCCCCCCCCGCCCAAAATAACTTAGGTGTGGGCAGGGGCATAGTTGGTTGGGGGAGAGCATACAGGCACACCCGCAAGCCCGATCCGATCCCTGGCGGCAGTCTCCAGGCCTGGCAGGCCACAGGGGCCAGGCCCATCGCACAGGGGAGAATCATGCCCAAAACCACTTGACGAGCTTCCCCCAGCATCACATTTTCTCGGCATTCAGAGGAATACAGAACAGTGAAAGAACCAGAAAGGAGAAATTTTCCATTTTCGTGTCAACATGAAACTGAAGTTCTCACATAAACAAATCTCACTTTTACAATAAACAGATAAAAATAAGGCCGAGGGTCGGGAGACAGCTGAAAGGGCTGGAGCCCATCCTGCACAGGGGAGGCCTAGGCTAGGACCCCTGGCACAGCAGGGAACCCTGAGCAGTCCTGGCGGTGACACTGACCCCCAAGCGCTGAGCCAGCAGCAGCCCCCAGGCACTGCCAGGGGGGACCAAAACAGTAAAATAAAATAAGGGCCAGAGTACGGCAGGTACTTAAGGGCAGCCAACCCAGATTCCATCGCCAGTACCCCTTGTGGGACCCTGAGCATCCTGAGCACAGAGCCAGGAGGAAGGCCTGAGCACTGCAAGTTGGCCCGTAACACAAAACAAAGACTTAAAAGAAAACCTATTTTGGGGCTGGAGTGATAGCACAGCAGGTAGGGTGTTTGCCTTGCACGCAGCGACCCAGGTTCGATTCCCAGCATCCCATATGGTTCCCCGAGCACCGCCAGGAGTAATTCCTGAGTGCATCAGCCAGGAATGAGCCAGGAATAACCCCTGTGCATCGCCGGGTGTGACCCAAAAAGCAAAAAAATTAAAAAATAAAGAAAACCTATTTTGCAAGAATTCACCAAAAGGCTTAAACTAAAGCTGCACAAATTATCGAAGGCTGAATAATCTATGCAGTCTCTCATCACAGAGCTAGCTCGGAACTAAATATTTTCAACATTCATGGATGTTAAATATTTGTTATGTTTTCCGGTAGAAAACATCGTTAGAAATTTCAGCTGTGACCAGCAAAGAAAGAGAAGATGAAGGTGAATATAAATCCCACTGAGGAAAGATCTAGTCTTAGCTTACTACAAATTTGGCCCCCAAAGGAGATTTTTAAGAGCCCGATTGATTACAGATTTCTGCCACTATCCAGTGCCGACTACAATAGCTGGTGGGAAATTACCCAATCACAATTCGTCTATAGAATGCTTCAGGTGGGTTTTACTACAATAATAAGTAGGCACAAGAAGATAGGATATTTTTATGGAAATATTTTGAGACTGGGCAGAGTGCTCAAAGGGCGGAGTGCATGCTTTACATGCAGGAGACCCAGCAAGACCCCACTTCCACCCTCCAACCCGGAACCTGCAGGGTGTGGTGCCCAGAACGTGGGACATCCCAAAACAATTTGGCCCACAGGAACGTAATTTGTGTGTGATAATTCTGCCCTCCATATAAACAAGGCTTCCATAAAGTGAACTTAACAGAACTTGGAGAGCTGAATATTTCCCCTATTAAACACTAAGAGGAGCCGCAGAGAGAGTACAGGAAGAAAGGAAGTCGCCTGCCTACTGCACCCCGCTGACCCTGTTCAATTCCAACACTCCAACGCCCGAGCTCGCCAGGAGTGATTCCTGCGTACAGAGCCAGGAATAAGCCGTAGCACTACGGGATGTGGCCTAAAAATCGTATGAAATATTTTCTTTTGAAGTCAGGACACTATTTCCAAGTTTTGGGGTGCTATTTTGGGGGGGCAGAGGTCAAGGGGGCTGGAGAAACAGTACGGCCAGGAAGGCGCTTGCCATGCATGGGGCCCACCTGGGTTCCATTCCTGGCATCCTATAAGGTCCCTGCAAGAGTGGACTCCTCACCCCCAAGAGTGACTGGGACTGATTCCTGAGTGAAGAAGAGCCAGGAGTAAGCCCTGAGCAACCCTGGGGTGTGGCCCCCAAAACAAAACAAACAAAAACCTTCAAATGGGGGCTGGAGCAATAGCACAGCAGATAGGGCATTTGCCTTGCATGCTACCGACCCGGGTTCGATTCCCAGCATCCCATAGGGTCCCCTGAGCACCGCCAGGGGTAATTCCTGAGTGCAGAGCCAGGAGTAACTCCTGTGCATCGCTGGGTGTGACCCAAAAAGCAAAAGAAAAAAAGGGGGGGCTGGAGCAACAGCACAGCGGGTAGGGCGTTTGTCTTGCATGCGGCCAATCCGGGTTCAATTCCCAGCATCCCATAGGGTCCTCCGAGCACCACCAGGAGTGATTCCTGAGTGCAAAGCCAGGGCATCACCGGGTGTGACCCAAAGAGCAAAAAAAAAAAAAAAAAAAGATTATTAAGTACTAAACAAGGCACAGCACACTACTCTTTCTCTCTGCTATCTTGATATTCCTGGCAAAGCATTAATCACAATTACTTACTTCTGGCAGGGGAGGGGAGGGGAGGGGGGAGGAGAGGTAAGTTCTTTGAGAAAACGCAAAAGGGTTTTGTTTTTTTTTTAAACCGCGTCCTCCTCGGGGTGGTCACAAAGAGAATCTGGTGGCAGGACCAAACCCAGGAAACAACTCCCCTCCACGACACACGACAAACAGAAACGTGCTCGTGGCCGGCCAAGGCTGCGTTTGTGACACCGGTGGTGGTGGGGGGGGGGGGGTCTTGGAGGGAGGGGCACGGGCAGCGGGCGCCTCACAATTCCACCCCGGGACAGGGGTATGGGGAGGGGGGTGGTGGAGAGGAGGGGGCCGCGGTTTTCTTTCTTTGCACACACAAACCCAAAGTGACCCACACGCTTTCATCCCCGGCCCCCCCAAGTCTCCTTAGCCCAGGGCACACAATGACCACAGAAAAAACAAAAAACCCTCTTGCCGAGGGGGCCTTTCTTTTTAGGGCAAATGCGTGCGTCCTGGAAAAGTTAGGCGCCGGGCCTGTCTCCGCGCACCCCCCGATCGTGGGTCCTGCGCGCCCCGGACCACCCTCGCCCCCGCCCCCCAAGTTTCTTCTCCACCCCGCGCCCCGCCTCGGCCCGGCGCTATCAGCCCGCGGCATCTCCCTCCGGAGGAAAAACCGCCGGGCGGGGGCGGCCCGGGGTGCCCAGCGGCGCCCGCCGCCAGGTCCAGGGGTGCAGCCGGGGGCGCGCGGGGGGCGCACGGGGGGCGCGCAGAGGGCGCAGCGTGGGGAGGGGGGCCGCCGTCTCCCCCAGGCCCAGGGCACGCCCCTCGCCCGCCAGCCCCGCGTGGGCACCCCGAGTGACAGCCTGTGCCCCCCCCCCGCCCCTCCCGGGGTCGCCCCCTTCCACACCCCCCCAGCTCGGGTGGCCGCGGAGTGACAGTCCCGGGTGGGAGGGTGCGGGGAGGGGTGCGGGGAGCGGGGCGGGAGAAGGCGGAGAAGCGGCAGCGCGCAAAGGCGCTGGCGCCGGCCGGGACGCCCAGGTGACGCTGGCGCCCCCCCGGGACCAGGACCGGGCCCTGGCGCTGGCCCTGGCCCTGGCCCGGCCCGGCCCGGTGGCCCCGCGGGTGGCACTTACTGCGGAGATTGTGGATCAGCTCCGAGTGGCTGGCGCCGCCGGATTTCCAGGCCATCGCGAGGCACACCCGGAGCAGGTACAGAAGCGCCTTCAGCGCGGCGACGGTGCCGAACAATTTCCCTAAGAGTGACACCACTTCCCACACGGTCACCGCCCCGCCCGCGTCCCCGCCGGAGTCGCCGCGGTTACTGCCGCCGCCGTCGCCGCCGCCGCCGCCGCTGCTGCTGCCGCTGCCGCCACTGCGCGCTCCCGGCATCCCCCGCGGCACGCATGCGCCCTGTGACGCCGGGCGCGGCCGGGCGGGGCTGGGCGGGGCCGCGGCCCGGCGGGCGGCCGGGCGACCGGGCGCGGTTACCCCGGACGCGCGCGCCGAGGCCGGGCTGAGTCAGCGCAGCTGCTGCCAAGCGGCTGCAGCGGCTGCAGGGGCGGCGGCAGGTGCGCGCTTTCTGCAACCGGGGGGCTGCGCGCCGGACCCCGGAGAGCTGGGCCTGAGGCTGTCGGGCGGCGCGGGCTCCGGTGCGGGGCGCGCAGCTATGTGCCGCCGCCGCCGCCGCCGCTGAACCCCGAGCTCGGCTCCTGCGCCGGCGGGTCAGCTGTTGCGAGCTCCTCGGGGCTGCTCCTATGGCTGTCCAGGTTGCTAGGCGGTGGGCTTCCTCCGTCCGCTCCTCGCCCAACCCCGCGCGCGCATGTTTAGGTCCGTGGGCGCCTTGAGCTCTCCCGGAGCCTGAATCCTCTGGGTCGCAGCAGACCTTTGCCCGTCCGAGCTCCGGCCCCCTCTGGCTGCAGGACAAGGACAAATCCGCTTTAGCAGGGACTTTGGGACCTTGGTTTGTTGATTTCTCTGCTAACTCTTTCCGAGCGCTAATTCCGCAAGCGGGAGAGCACCGCGGCGTGAGGGATTGGGGAAATTGCTTTTCTCTCCCTCATGCAATACAAAAATGGGCTCGTCCAAAAGTGCTGCCGCGTTTGCTTTGCACGGGGGAGGCCCAGTTCCCATTCCCCCCGGCCAACCCTTTGAGCTAGGAGTAACCTCCGAGCACCAACAGGGGTAAAGCCGAAAAAGAAAATACGCTTGGGGCTTTTGCTTTTGTCCGCGGCTGGTCGACCTGGGTTCGAGTGTCTGCATCCCATATGGTCCCCCGAGCACCCAGAGTAATTCCAGAAAGCAGAGCCAGGAGTGAACCCCCGAGCATCGATGGGTGTCCAGAGCTAGCAGTAACCCCTAAGTATTGCCGGGTGTGAGCCACAAAACAAAAAGTAAAATACCATTAGTTAAAAGTAACACTGAATTATTTTGTAACTTTGTAATTCACGGTGCGTGATTCAATTAAATAAAAAATTTCAATTAAAAATTAACCTTTGGGGGCTGGAGAGATGGTATAGTGGGGAGGACATATGTTTTGGATGTGGTCCACCAGGATTTGATCCTTGGCACGGCATATGGGCCCTGGATCCAACCTGGAGTGATCTCTGAGTACAGAGTGAGGAGTAAGCCTTGAGCACCGACGGGTGTGCTCCCCCAAACAAAATAAAAATAAAAATTGCTTTTAAAAAAGAATACTACTATTTTCCAACCTAGGGTTGATCCCTGACATCACGTATGATTCCCTGAGTACCTCCAGGGGTGATCCCTGAGCGCAGAGCCAGGGATAAGCCCTAAGCACTGCCAGGGGTGGCCCAAAACAAACTCAAGAATACACTGCTTCCTAAAGCAATAGAAGTATTCTCCCCATACACATGTCTTTTCAGCTAGACACCAGCTCTCTTTCAAGACAAGTGAGAGCGTTAATTACTTTCCACAGGGAAAGCCACCTGTGACACTGAACTTGCTGATTCAGAGTCAGAATAGAGACAAAGTGTCATCATTTGATCCAATGTGTAAGGAAGGTAACAAACACTATTTAAAGATACTAATGCTCTCCTCTGAGCAGGTGGTTTGTAATTCTAGTTCAAGTTCAGACTCAACCTTTGGTCAAAAATCATCTTTGTTTTGTTTTTGTCTTTGTTTCTGTTGTTGTTTTGGGCCACACCTGGCTCTGCTTCAGGGCTCACTCCTGACAGGGTCCAGGGGACCATCTGTGGTGCTGGGGGTTGAGCCAGGGTCAGCTGCATATAAGACAGGCACCCTACCCCTTGTACTATCTCCAGCCCCTCTAGGCCATTTTATGTTTGTTTGTTTTTTGCTTTTTGGGTCACACCCGGATGCACAGGGGCTACTCCTGGCTCATGCATTCAGGAACTACTCCCGGTGGTGCTAAGGGAGACCATATGGGATGCTGGGAATCGAACCCAGGTCTGCCGCGTGCAAGGCAAACGCCCTACCCACTGTGCTATTACTCCAGCCCCATGTAGGTCATTTTAACCTTGAAGTAAACATTACCTATTCTTCTGGAATCAGGTCTTAGGAATAATGTTCTCACATAGGAATCCTTAATAATTTTCCAGTGCATCACATCTCTGCAATTCCTTGATGATTTAGTAATTTAAAAACAAAAACAGGGCCAGGGAGATAATATAGCAGGTAAGACTCTTGCCTTGCACTCAGTTGACCTGGGTTTGATCCTTGGCATCCCATATGGTTCTCCAAGCCCTGCCAGGAGTGATCCCTGAGCTCAGAGGTAGAAATAAGCACTGCCCGATATGGTCCCGAATTATTTTTCTTAACACGGAAAAATATGTGCAAGAGTTATAATGCAGTGAGTAAGATGCTTGCCTTGCATGCTGCTGACCCTGGTTCAATCCCCCAAACCTGCCAGGAGTGATCCCTGAGCACAAAACCAAGAATAATCATTTGTAGAATATGAAGTAGCATACATGAGACTAACACCTAAGGACAGTAGGTGTTAGTCTACTACCAGGAGGATCATGCCATGGTTTGGAAGCCAGCCCTACATGCTGGGGAAAAAGGCAGGTGGGATGGAGAAGGAGCCAATAAGTAAATGATGATTGGAGGGAGAGCCCAGGATGGGAGATGTGTGCTGAAAGTAGACCAAGGACCAAACATGATGACCTCTTAGTATCTGTATTGCAAATCATAATGCCCAAAATTAGAGAGTAAGAAGGATTGTACCTGCCACAGAGGCAGGGGGTGGGGGTGGCGGGTGGGACACTGGGAACAATGGTGGTAGAAAATGTGCACTGGTGGAGGGAGGTGAACTTGAGCATTGTTTGACTGAAACATCATCATGCAATTTTTGTAACTATCTCACAGTGATCCAATAAAACTCCTTTAAAAAATTCAAATGGGGCTGGAGAGATAGCAGAGTGGGTAGGGCATTTGCCTTGCACGTGCCTGACCCGGTTTGCTTCCCAGCATCCCATATGGTCCCCTGAGCACCGCCAGGGTGACTCCTGATGCAGAGCCAGGTGTGACCCAAGAAGAAAAAAAAAATTCAAATGACTTGAAATAAAGACAAGTTAGATAAAATTTTTAAAATTTTAAAAATAAAAAAAAACGAGTAAGCCCTGAGCATAGCCTAGTGTGGGATAATTAAAAACAACAACAAAAAAGTGGGAGAATCAAAATAGATTTTAATTTCTTTTTTGGTTTTTATGTTCGGAGGGTACAAGAGCAGTGCTCAGCTGGGAATACTCTTGGCTCAGTGCCCAGAGGTCACCCCAGGTGGTGTCAGGTATTGAACCAAGATTGGCCACATGAAAAACAAATGCTTTGAAATTAAAAAAAAAAAAAAAAAGCTAGAGTGATAGTACAGCTGGTAAGGAACTGGTAATGCACTTGCCTTGCATGCTGCTGACTCAAATTCAATCCTTAGCACCTCATAATGTTCCCCAAGACTGCCAGAAGTGAACCCTAAGTACAGAGACAGGAGTAAGCCCTGAACACCACTGAATGTGTCCCCCCATCAAAAAAAATTTAAAAAATAAAAAAAGCTGTATTATCACTCTAGCTCAAAAAGAAAAAAGAAAGAAAAGTGCCTTATCTCTGTACTCTTGTCTGCTAAAATGTATTTTAAATACCAAAAATAATAAAACCTAATAAGCATTTTAGTATTAAAATTAAAATTTTAGTATTTAGTATTTTAGTATACTTATTAGGTTTTATTTATTATTTTTGGTAAGTATTTTTGGGCTGGAGCGATAGCACAGCAGTAGGGCGTTTGCCTTGCCCACAGCCAGCCCAGCAGAGCGGGGTTCGATTCCTCCACCCCTCTCGGAGAGCCTGGTGAGCTACCGAGAGTATCTCACCCTCCCGGCAAAGCCTGGCAAGCCACCCGTGACATAGTCAATATGTCAAACACAGTAACAAGAAATCTTAAAATGGAGATGTTACTGGGCCCGCTCGAGCAAATCGATGAACAACTGGAGGACAGTGTGGACAATAAGTATTTTAGAATTAAAAGTAAATTTGATATAATTCTACAACTTTGAAAGCTGGATTCTCTTCACTTAATTATCAATGTAATTATGCATGGGTGAGTGTGTAATTTTTTTTTTTTTTTTGCTTTTTGGGCCACACCCAACAATGCACAGGGGTTCCTCCTGACTCTGCACTCAGGAGTTACTCCTGGTGGTGCTCAGGGAACCGTATGGGATGCTGGGAATCAAACCGGGGTCAGCCGCGTGCAAAGCAAATGCCCTACCCGCTGTGCTATCTCTCCAGCCCCGAGTGTGTAAATTTTTTTAAAAATATATTTTTATAAAAAAAAGAGGGGGGGAGTGGGAGAGGCGAGAAACGGTTTCATGGGCTGTAGCCTGGAGCACAGGTTTTGCATGTAGGAGGTAGGGGCTGGTTCCCCCAGCACCAAAGAGTTCCCTGAATAACCTCAAGTACCTGGGGGGAATTTCAGCCCCTGAGCTTCTCATGGCTAAGGCCCCAACAAAATAAAAGAACAGCAGAAAACACTGGCTTGAGGGGGACAGAGATAGTACGGTGGGTAAAGTGCTCTCCTTGCTGTCCATCAACCTAGGTTTACTCCATAGCACTCCACATGGTCCCCTTGAGCCTTCCAGGAGTACTCTGAGTACAGAGCCAGGACTAAGGCCTGAGCACTGCAGGGTGTGGCCCCAATTCAAAGCTGAAAAAAATAGTTCTTTGAGTCAGGACTACCATCAGGGAAACAAATACCATGAACTTTTTCCACAAAAATAACCACCATGTAATTTTTTTTTTTTGGCTTTTTGGGTCACAACCAGTGATGCTTATGGGTTACTCCTGGCTCTGCATTCAGGAATAACTCCTGGTGGTTCTTGGGATTCAGCCACATGCAAGGCAAACTCCCTACCCGCTATACTATCACTCCGGCCCCCATATGCAATTATTAACATAGAATAATGAGGTTATGGGGGGGCAGAGCAACAGTACAGTGCATAGGGTGTTTGCCTTGCACACAGCCAACCCAGTTTTAATCTCTGGCATCCTATGTAATCCCCCAAGCACTGCAAGAAGTAATTCCTGAGTGCAGGCCCCAGGAGTAAGCCCTGAGCATCGTTGGGTGTGGTCCCCAAATCCCCATATCCCCACCTCGAAAAAAAAAAAGGTATTGGGGACTGGAGAGAGAGTAGAGTGTGCAAGGTACTTGCTGGCTCCATCCCAAGCAAACCATATGGTCCCCTGAGTATCACCAGGAGTGATCTCTGAACACAGAGCCAGGAGTAAGCCCTGAGCACTGCTGGGTATGGCCATTCTCCCAACTAACCTATTATTTATTTATTTTTGCTTTTTGGGTCACACCTGGCGATGGTCAGGGGTTACTCCTGGCGGTGCTCAGGGGACCATATAGGATGCTGGGAATCGAACCTGGGTCAACCGCGTGCAAGGCAAACGCCCTACCCGCTGTGCTATCGCTCCAGCCCCTAACCTATTATTTTCGTCTGTTTTTATGCATTATATATGAGAACTCTTTACCTCTGAGACACATCCCAGAACCTGAGGTTTTCTGTTGGATTTTTTGTTTGATTGTTTTTCACAATACTAAGAGTTTTTGTTATTGGTGGCAGTCCAAAATTTTAAAAAATAATCCTCTAATAGTAAATGTTAAAATTTTTAATTGTAAAAATGCTGAAGGCTGAAGCTATAGTACAGAGGGTAGGATGCTTGCCTCACACATGCCCAACCTGGGTTTGCTCCCTAGCAACCCATCTGGTCCCACAAACACTGCCAGGAGTGATCCACGAGTGAAGAGCCAGGAGTAAGCCCTGAGAACAATTGGGTACAGCGAAAAAAAAAAATACAAAAAGATGAGTAGCTCATCCCTCTTGCAAAACAACAGCTAAAGCCTCATCCTCAACAATAATTAAGGGAGAGGGCATAAAAAAAATCACAAGAGAAATCATTACATCCATTAACACACCAACTTATTATCCAAATCTTTCTATTTTTGTCCTCAAAATAAGTCCTTTGCCTTTAAGTTAATAAACTATCAGTCTTGAGTTGAGGATCTGAGGAGATACAACAGTAGGGAGTTTGTCTTGCAGGTGGCTGACCCTGGTTCCATCTCTAGACCCAATATGGGTCAAGCCCTGCCACAAGTAACCTAAGTTCTGTCTAGCCTGGCCCCAAAACAAAACAAAACATTGAGCCGAATTTTGAGGACTCCAGTTCTAATTCTTATTGACCAGCATGTAACCTTCTTCTATTCATTTATGTACATAAGTTTTTCAAATAATCTTTTTTTTTTTTTTACCTTTGAGTCACACCCGGCGATGCACAGAGGTTACTCCTGGCTCATGCACTCAGGAATTACTCCTAGCAGTGCTCGGGAGACTATATGGGATGCTAGAAATCGAACCCGGGTCAGCCTCTTGCAAGGGAAGCGCCCTACCCGCTGTGCTATCACTACAGTCCCCTAAAATAATCTTTCTTTAGGCCATATCTGGAGGTGTGCAGGGCTTACTCCTGGCTCTGTGCTCAGGGATCACTTCTGTTGGCACTTGGTGGGCCATATGCTTGCTAGGAATTGAAACAGGTTAGCAGTGGGCAAGAAAAGCGTCTAACCCTTTGTACTATCTCTCCAGTCCCTAAATACAAATCTAATATAGAAAACTGACAGCCAAGGAAAATGGTCTAAGTTACTTCTGTGCTTTTAATTACACGTACATTATTCCATTCCTTTTTACTCAGCATCCAGTCGATCCTTAAGGACCAGTTTCTTCAATATATCTTTTTCTGATAAAGCTGCAGCCTATGGTGATCTAAATAAACACAGCGCTTATTCTAGACAATAGCAACCGTTTTTGTTTTTGTTTTTGTTTTGTTTTTTGCCCGGTTGCTAGTTTTCTTTTCTTTTTCTCTGTTTGGTTTTTGGGCCACATCAACTGAGCTCAGGACTTACTTTTGGCTCTGTGCGCAGGTATCACTCCTTCTAGTCATCAGGGGACCATATGGAGTGCCAGGAATTGAACCCGGGTCAGCCACGTGCAAGGAAATGAAATGCCTTTCATGCTCTACTGTATCTCTGGCCCCCGCTAAGTTTTCTGTTTATGAGCTTGTCGCAATGACACTGTCAATCATATTGCTTGCTCTGAGGCACCGCCGGGTAGGGCAACAAAACAAAACAAAAAAACAACAACAAATGCAGTCTCCAGGGTTCCTATAAAGATTTTGCAGAGTAGGGTACAGGAACTACAAGAATGGGTGTGGCTTGATTTTTTTCGTTTTTTTTTGGGGGGGGGGGGCTGTGGTCCTCTAGAGCTCTTTTCAAGGGTGGTTGCTCAGGGGGCAGGACCGTGCTGGAGATGGAGCCTCCAACACGCGAACGATCAGCCCCACCCCAAAGCTGCGTGTCCTTGCTCTCGTCTCCAAGGGAAGGGCGTCACCTGCGCCGACGCGGGAACGGGGAAAGCGGGTGGCGCGCGCACAGCCGGGCGCGGGTACAGAACTGACTCTCGCCGGCCACCGTCGTCGCGGTCGGGCGCCGCCCAATCAGGGCCGCCGGAAGGGGCGGGGCCCGGGAGGCGCGCGCGCGGCGCTTGGGGCTGGTCCCCGCGGCAGCTGCTTTTCAGCATGGAGGATATCTATGCTAAGTTTGTGTCCCAGAAAATCAGCAAGACCCGCTGGCGACCGGTCCCTCCGGGGAGTCTTCAGGCCGCGGAGACCTTCGCTACGGGTTCTTGGGACAATGAGGTACCCGTCGGCCCCGGCCGGCGGCGATCGAACGCCGTCCGCCTCCTCAAGCCTCGTTTCTCTCCACCCTCCCCTCCGAACTTCTCTTAAAGTGCTGCTCGGGACGCGCCTCCTCTTTTTTCCCCTCTTTTTTTCTTTTCTTTTCGGGTGTTACTTCTGGCTCTGCAACTCAGGAATTACTCCCAGCGATGCTTGGGTTGGGGGGAACCCTATGGGATGCTCGGGGAATCGAACCCTGGTCGCCCGCGTGCAAGGCAAACGCCCTCCCCGCTGTGCTATATCTACCCCGGCCCCTGTCTGTTAGGTTTTGGGTTGAGATGGCTCCTACGCTGTGTCAGTTCTGATAGCCGAGACACGCCGTATCGCAACAACAACAACAACAACAAACAACAACAGAAACTTGTCCTTTGCAGGAAAATTTTGTGTCGCTGTGGTCCATCGGAGATTTCGGGAACTCGGACTGCGAAGGAGGAGGGTTCGACGGAGATCATCAGCTGCTGTGTGATATCAAGCACCATGGTGATGTGATGGATTTGCAAGTAAGCCTGGAGCAACCCCCTAACCCACCCCCCCACCCCCCCACCCCCGCCCGAAGCTCGCCACCCACTTGGAAACCAAAACGAAATCAGCTGGTGGAGAGTGGTAGACGAGATGGGGGGAGGTTGGTGGGGGGGTGGCAAGGCGTAGACGAGGCGGGTTAACTGGCCGATGCAAAAGACCTTGGAGTTTGTCTCATCGCAGCTCAAGGTTGACAGGGAACTGGGTTCCCTCTTGGTTGTGGTAACGGGGCACTTCATGGCAGAGTCAAGGCAAGAGGAGGAGATGTGAGTTTTATTGTATTTATTTGGGGAGGTGGGTTTGGGACACACCCAGCCTGCTCAGGGCTTGCTCCTGACTCTGCACTCAGGGAAGACACTTTTATTTTTCTTTTTGGGTCACACCCCACGATGCACAGGGGTTGCTCCTGCCTCTGCACTCAGGAATTACTCCTGGCGGTGCTCGAGGGACCATATGGGATGCTGGGGATTGAACCCGGGTTCGCTGCGTGCAAGGCAAATGCCCTACCCGCTGTGCTATCGCTCCAGCCCCAGGGAAGACACTTAATGGCAGAGTCAAGACTAGGGAAGGAGATGTGAATTCTATTGTATTTATTGGGGGAAGGGCTTTGGGCCACACCCAGATGTGTTCTGGGCTGACACATGGGGTGCTGGGATTGAACCCAGTTCTGCTGTGTGGGAGGCAAGCATCCTTCCTGCTGTATTAGCTCTCCAACCCCTGAGATGTGAACTTTACCCTAGTCCTTTTATTTTGTTGAAACATTTGTTTTCCCAGCATCTTTTGGGGAGCTTCACATAACTTCATTCTCATCCCATGTTTGTGAATCACGTTATTGTTATCTTTGTTTTGCAAATGAGAAAACTGGGCCTTAAGGATTTTTGACATTTCATCAAGTGAATTTCTTCAAAATTGTTTTAACTTGGCCAGAGTGATAGTACAGAGGGCAAAACATTTCCCTTGCATGAGACTGACCCTGTTCGACTGGCCCCCAAGCACCGCCTATAGTTATTCCTGAACAGGGAGCCAGGAGTAACTCTTGAACACTGTTGGGTGTCCTCCCCACCCCCAAAAGCAAACAGAGGAAAACTTTTTACTTGACACAAGAACTTTTGGACACTTACCATGTGATATTGTGCACCATGTGATACTGTGCAAGGCACTTTACATGGTTTGATTCTTGGAGGTTTTTTTTTTTTTTAAATGTAGGAGTACTGCTGTTTATTCAGCCACTGATTAGCTGATTGAATTGTGCATGAACTCCACAAGTTTTGTTTTTAAGATCATAATCCTAAATAAAGACTAGCGGGCTGGAGCAATAGCACAGCGGGTAAGGCGTTTGCCTTGCACGCAGCCAACATGGCTGACACAGGTTCGATTCCCAGCATCCCATATGGTCCCCCGAGCACCGCCAGGAGCAATTCCTGAGTACATGAGCCAGGAGTAACCCCTGAGCATTGCTGGGTGTGACCCAAAAAGAAAAAAATAAAGACTAGCGTTTTCCTTCTTCTTTTTTTTGGCCAGGGTTTTTCCTGAGCTTGGGGTTTACTCCTGGCTCTGCACTAAGGAATCATTTCTGGTGGGTTCTGGAAGACTATATGGAGTCCTGGAGATCAAAACTGGGTCAGCTGTGTGCAAAGCAAATACTCTACCTGCTGTACTATCACTTTGGTGCCTCAAATTGTCACACCAGTAATTGAGGGGGTTTTTTCACTACCAATATTTCTGAGTCCATAACGAGTGAAAATTTTCTATTTAGTTTTTTGACCAGGAAAGAATTGTAGCTGCTTCCTCAACGGGATGTGTAACAATTTTCCTTCACCATCCAAATAACCAGGTAAAGAAATTTTGTTTTGAAACTTAATTTGTATTTCAGGTATTTTTGTGAAAGACTTAAAGAAGGCTATACTTAATAACAGTACAAATAATGAAGTTTTATAAAGTCTAAATTTTGGAGGGGGGAAAATAAGAATAAACACATGTTTTACTAAGTTAGTTCTAGATCTGTGTTTGTATAGCCTTTATTGAAATTGGATATCTAGTAATATAAACTCCTAGTTTATAACTAATGATTTGGTATTTTCTTTTTGGTTTTTGGTTCTTTCCCTTTTTTCTTTTTGTGGGGGCGGGGGTCACACCCGGCAATGTTCAAGTGTTACTCCTGGTTCTGCACTCAGGAATTACTCCAGGGGCTGGAGCAATAGCACAGCGGGTAGGGCGTTTGCCTTGCACACGGCTGACCCGGGTTCGATTCCCAGCATCCCATATGGTCCCCCGAGCACCACCAGGAGTAATTCCTGAGTGCATGAGCCAGGAATAATTCCTGTGTATCGCCACGTGTGACCCAAAAAGCAAAAAAAAAAAAAAAAAGGAATTACGCCAGGAATTACTCCTAGAGGTGCTTGGGAGACCATATGTATTCCGGGTAGAATCTGGGGGAACTGTGTGCAAGGCAAATGCCCGACCCACTGTACTATTGTGCCAACCCTTGTTTTGATTTTTGGCGACACCTGGATCAAATCTGGGTGTGATGAATGCAAGGTAGCACCCTCTCTGTATACTAATGCCAAAGCCCACAATGTGGTGGTGATTTGTTGTTTGTTTGGCTACATCCAATGGTACACAGGGCTTGCTCCTGGCTCTGCACTCAGGGATCACTCTTGGTAGTGATCATTCAGGGACCTTATGGAGTGCCAGGAATTGACTTAGGTCTGCCACTTATGAGCCATGCGCCCTACCTGCTATACTGTCTCTCTGGCCCACAGTTTGCTATTGTGACAAATAGGTTTTTTTGTAATTCCCATTTTAAGTTCTTAATCTAGTTTTATTTATCTATTTTTATTTTCTTATATTTGGAATTGGTCACACCCAGCGATGCTCAGGGGTTACTCCTGGCTCTGAACTAAGAAATTACTCCTGACGGTGCTCGGGGACATGTGGGATGCCAGGGATTAAACCCAGGTTGACCACCTGCAAGGCCCTACACTCCGGCTCCCTTAGTCTAGTTTTATTTTTTATTTATTTTTTTTTTCTTTTTGGGTCACACCCAGTGATGCTTAGGGGTTACTTATGTCTCTGCACTCAGGAATTACTCCTGGCCATGCTCAGGGGACCATATGGGATGCTGGGAATTAAACCCGGGTTGGCCGCGTGCAAGGCAAATGCCCTACCTGCTGGGCTATCGCTGCAGTCCCAGTCCAGTTTGTTGTTTTTTTTTAATTAATTTATTTTGCTTTTTGGGTCACACCCGGCGAGGCACAGGGCTTATTCCTGGCTCTGCACTCAGGAATTACTCCTGGCAGTGCTCGAGGGATCATATGGGATGCTGGGAATTGTACCTTGGATGGGCCTTGACCAGGCAAACACCCTACCTGCTGTGCTATTGATCCAGCCCCTAGGTTTTTTTTTTTTAAAGAAAGAAATAGGACCCACTGTGGGCAGAGGTTGCCCTAGCACTGTGTTTGCGCCATTGGTAGTCTGGGGCTACCAGAGCCACATTTGGTGGTGCCCTGCTCTCAGAGGTCACTCCTGGTGGGCTCGGGACCATAGAGGATCCTGGGGATTGAACCCACGCCAACTGCATGCAAAGCAAGTACCCTACCTGCTGTCCTGTCTATCACTCTGGCCCCCAGGTTTCTAGATCTTAATAACTGGAAATACAAGAGAAAAAAGAAGAGAGGTCATTCTTCCAGACGGATGTGGGACTAAATTTAAAAATACTCTCCAGTGGGAGAAGACTGCTCGGTATTTTTAGTTTTGTTTTGACTTCCACCTCCTCGTTCTTGCTGTGTAGACGCTGTCCGTCAGCCAGCAGTGGCCCCAGGCTCACTACCACACAGGGCTGGGCAGTCCTTCCTACAGCAGCGCCCCCTGCACGGGCATCGTGTGTAGCAACCCAGAAATTGTCACGGTGGGAGAAGACGGCCGAATAAATCTTTTTAAAGCAGATCACAAGGAAGCGGTCAGAACTATCGGTAAGAAAGAAAAGCTATTTCCCTTGTTTCCCACCCACCCCCCTTTGGTCTCAGCCTGCTGTGGTGAACAGCAGTGACTGGGGAACTGCTCAGTGTTTTGGGGGGTTTTTGTTTGTTTGTTTGCTTTTTGGGTCACACCTGGCTCTGCACTCGGGTGTGTAGGGGACCATATGGGATGCTGGGAATCGAACCCGGGTCGGCTGTATGCAAGGCAAACGCCCTACCCGCTGTGCTCTAGCCCCAATGGTCAGTGTTTGAGAGATATAAAAATAGACAAAATTGGGGCTAGAGCAATAGTACAGCTGAGAGTGCACTTGACTTGGCACGTGGCCGACCCGGGTTCGATCCCTGGCATCCCATATGGTCCCTGGGTGCTGCCACGAGTAATTCCTGAGCACAGAGCCAGGAGGAAGTCCTGAGCAGCACTCTAAGTGGCCAAAATGAAAAGAAGACTCGGTCGGGGCTGGGCGTCGGCGGTGTGCAGACAAAGCAGGTCAGTGTGTGGGGAAGGGCAGGCAGGAGGAGAGTATCAGATAAAGAGCTGACGAGGGTGGCTGTGAACTGAATCTAGGTCGTTAGTAAACCAAAAGATGGTAAGAGAAATGAAGGGAAGAGTCTGGAGGTGGGATCAGATGGTTGAGAGAGCTATATAAAAAGTGTGGTCTCGGTGTTGGAGCAATAGTATAGTGGGTAGGGCACCTGCTTGCACCTGGCTGACCTGGGTTCTGTCCCAGGCATCCCGTATGGTCCCCTGGGCACTGCCAGGCGTGATTCTTAAGCACAGAGCCAGGAGAACCCCTGAGCACTGCTGGGTGTGACACCCCCCCCCCCAAAATGCATTTTCATCTGATTTTACCCAGCAGTGCTCAGGGATAGTTCTGGCTCTGTGCTCAGGAGTGAGCTCTGGCCGTTGAACCAGGGTCCGCCGTGTGCAAGCCTGAGTGCCTTAACCTACATTCTGTCCCTCTGGTCCCTCATCTAACCTTTTTTTTTTTTTTTAATTTTTTATTAGTGAAACACCATGAGGTACAGTTGTAGACTTACACATTTTTGTGCTTGGGTTTCAGTTATACAATGATCGAATACCCATCCCTCCACCAGTGCCCATTCTCCACCACCACTAATCCCAGTATCCCTCCCACCCCCCATACCCCCATCCCATCCTGCCTCTGTGGCAGGGCATTCCCTTTTGTTCTCTCTCTCCTTTTTTTTTATTATTATTTTATTTTATTTTTATTAAAAAAATTTTAATAGTGAGACATCATGAGGTACAGTTGCAGACTCACACATTTTTGTGCTTGGGTTTCAGTTATACAATGATCAAATACCATCCCTCCACCAGTGCCCACTTCCCACCACCACCCTCTCTCCTTTTGAATGCTGTGACCTTTTTTTTTTTTTTTTTATTGAATCACCATATATACAGTGACAAGGCTGTTCATGATCAGGTTTCAGTCGTCAGTGTTCCAGCAGCCATCCCTCCACCAGTGTCCCCAATTTCCCTCCCACCTCACCTCCCAGCCAGCCTGTCTCTCTATGGCAGGCTCACTCTCTCGCTCTCTTTCTCTCTCCCTCTCTCCCTCTCTCCCTCCCTTCGTCTCCTCCCACTTCCACACCCCCCATCCCTTTTGGGCATTATGGTTTGCAGTACAGATACTGAGGGGTTATCATGTTTTAGCAGGCCACTCTTATCCCAAGTGATCATTTCCAAGTATCTTTGATCTTTGTCATGGTGGTCCCTTCTCTATCCCAACTGCCTTTCCTGCCAAGCACTTGAAGCAAGTTTTCAACCATGGACCAATTCTCCTGGCCCTTGTTTGTACTGTCCTTGGGTATTACTCTAATATGTTTTCTTACATCTCACACATGAGTGCAGTCATTCTATGTCTGTCTCTCTCCTTCTGGTTCATTTCACTCAGCATCATAATTTCCATGTTCATCCATTTATTCCTCCGCCCCTCTCGGAGAGTCCGGCAAGCTACCGAGAGTATCTCACCCGCATGGCAGAGCCTGGCAAGCTATCCCTGACATATTCGATATGCCAAACACAGTAACAACAAGTCTCGTGATGGAGACGTTACTGGGCCCACTCGAGCAAATCGATGAACAGTGGGAGGACCGTGACCATGATCCATTTATAATGAATTTTGTGACTTCAAATTTTTTTTTTCTAACAGCTGTATAGTATTCCATTGTGTAGATGTACCATAGTTTCTTTAACCAGTTGCCTGTTCTCGGGCACTCAGGTTGTTTCCAGATTCTGGCTATTGCCTCACTTGACTTTAGAGAGGTGAAACCAGATTGAAGAATCTAATGCACAGCTGTAGAGTCACATTTTGTTAGGTTGGCAACTAAGGAAATTGTGAAATTTGCCATGGTTTAGAAGGATTGTTTGACTTCACATAGACTTTGGTGGAAGTAGCCTGGAGATAGAGATAGAGAGAAAGAGAGAGAGAGAGAGAGAGAGAGAGAGAGAGAGAGCGCTCATGCATGCATGCATGCAATCTCTTAGAAGATTTTTAACCCTGAGGGGCCGGGGTGATAGTTCAGTGGGTAGGGTGCTTTTCTTACACATGGCCAACCTGGGTTTGGTCCCCAGCATTCCATATGGTCCCCTGAGTATTGCAGGGTGTGGTCCAAAAACAAAAATAAAACAAAAAAGATTTTTAACCCTGAGGCCAGAGAGTGGGCTCGGTGCTTACCTTGCCTGCAGCTGACCTGTGTTCAATCTCAGCACCACATATGGTCCCCCAAGCCCTGATAGAAGCAAGCCCTGAGCATTGCTGGGTGTTATCCCACCCCCCCCCCTCCCCCCACCCCACCCCCACATACACACATTTCCTTCCCCCTCCCCCCTTGAGGAATGTACCATTTTCTTGTTAAGCTACTCTTGTATGGTGGCAGTTTGACAAGTGTTACAGGATTCTGTAGGTATATGCAAAATTACTCTAGGTAAAAAGAAAAGACCCTTTATAACAATGAGGAAGATTATGGAAAAGGAGAGATTCAGTGATCATCAAGAAACTTGGTGGGCAAGCACTACCTTGCATGCAGCTAACCCGGGTTCAGTTCCCCACATTCCTTATGGTCCCCCAAGGCCACCGGGAGGGGTATGTGAGTGCAGAGCCAGGTGAAAGCCCCGAGCAGCACTAGGTGTACCCTCTCCACTAAAAGCAAATGAGATTTGGGGTCAGAGAGAGTTCAGGGGTTAGTGGCTTGCCTTGTATCCTGCCAAGCTTTACATTAATGTAAATGCCTGGCATCACATGTGATACCCCAGGTACTGCCAGGGGACACTTGTGAGCACAGAACCAGAAATTGCCCCCTGAGTACTTTCAAATATGATCCCCTAAAAAGGAGAGGCTTAAGGTGAGTAACCAGGCTGAAGCAAGGTCAGAGTTAGTTCTGTAGGAAGCCCTAGATTTTGCTCTAGTAGAATCAGTGATTCTGGGTTAAGGGCAGTAGGAAATAAGTTTGTTTATAGACAAGCTTGAAAAACTACTTTAGAAATGATGGGTAACTGGGTTGGAGCGATAGTACAGCAGATAGGGCGTTGGCGTTACATGCAGCTGACCTGGGTTGGGTGTGATCCCCAGCATCCCATATGGACCTCCAAGCACTGCCAGGAGTAATTCCTGAGTTCAGAGCCAGGAGACACCCCTGAGCATCACTGGGTGTGACCCAAAAAGAAAAAGAAATGAAGGGTAACAACCTTAAGTAGAAATAGCGAAATATGAAAGGTCACCTCTTCTCAGATGTGTAGTTAGTGACAGTATTTTCCTATCACCGCAGGGTCCATTTTATTTTGTTTAGTTTTGCTTTGCAGGCTACCCCAGCTGCTCAGGGCTAACTCCTGGCTCTGTACTCAAGGGTCACTCCTGGAAGGGTTCAGGGGTAATATGCCATATGTGGTGCCTGGGAACAAACATGCAGGGTTAGCTACATGCAAAGCCAGTGCTTTAGCCCCTATATTTTCTCTAGCCTAAGAAAGTGGTTTCTCTCTCTCTCTCTCTCTCTCTCTCTCTCTCTCTCTCTCTCTCTCTCTCTCTCTCCCCCTCCCCCCCCCCCCCATCCTTCCCCCTTCCCCCACAACTAGTGGTGCTTGTTGTGGTCCTGGCCTCTGTTTTTTTTTTTTTTTTTTATTTTGGGCCAAACCCAGTAGTGCTCAGGGATTTCTCCAGGCTCTGTGCTCAGGAATCATTCCTGGCAGTGCTCAGGGCACCATATGGGATGTCAGGAATAGAACCTGGGTCGGCGGTGTGCAAGGCAAACGCTCTCCCCACTATAATATTTCTCTGGTCCCCTTACTCCTGACTCAGGGATCACTCCTGTCAGGTTCAGGGGAACTTACAAGGTGCTAGGGATTGCACTCAGGTTGGCTGTGTGTGAGACAAGCCCCCTACCTGCTGTTCTCAGTCTCTCCAACCTCCAGGACAATCATTCTTTTCTTTTTTTTTTTTTTTCAGGAGAATGAGCGATAGCACAGCGGTAGGGCATTTGCCTTGCACGCAGCCAACATGGCTGACCCGAGTTCGATTCCTTCACCCCTCTCGGAGAGCCCGGCAAGCGACCGAGAGTATCGCGCCCGCACGGCAGAGCCTGGCAAGCTCCCCGTGACTTATTCGATATGCCAAACACAGTAACAACAAAGTCTCCAATGGAGACGTTACTGGGCCCGCTCAAGCAAATCGATGATCAACGGGAGGGCCTTTACTTTACAGGAGAATCTATTTTTATTTTATTTATTTATTTTTTGCTTTTTTTTGGGGGGGTCACACCCGGCGATGCGCAGGGGTTACTCCTGGCTCATGCATTCAGGAATTGCTCCTGGCCATGCTCGGCGGACCATATGGGATGCTGGGAATCGAACTCTGGTCAGCGTGTGCAAGGCCCTCCCCCCCACCCGCTGTGCTATCCCTCCAGCCCTGAGGAGAACCTATTTTTAATGTGAATGCATTTCTTTACAAATGTTAACTGTCCTCCCATTGTTCATAGAGTTGCTCCAGCAGTCCCAGGCCCAGTAAAGGTACCAGTAATGTCTCTATTGTGAGACTTGTTGTTAACTGTGTTTGGCATATCATGGGGAGCTTGCTAGGCTTTGCCATGCAGGCGAGATACTCTCAGTAGCTAGCCAGGCTCTCTGCGAGGGGCGGAGGAATCGAACCTGGGTCAGTTGGGTCGGCTGCGTGCAAGGCAAACGCCCTACCACTGTGCATCACTCCAAACCTTGACTTAAAATTTAATTTACAATATTTTAATCGGTCAGAAGGAATGTGACTTCAGGTCCTCATGGAGATGGAGACTCAGTCACCCACTGCTGTTTTTGAATTTATAGACAATGCAGATAGTAGTACACTCCATGCGGTGACCTTCCTTCGAACTCCTGAGATTCTTACAGTAAATTCAATTGGACAGTTAAAAATATGGGACTTCAGACAACAAGGAAATGAGCCCTCTCAGATACTATCACTGTAAGTTTTGGTGTGTAATTTCAGTATAATGCAGTATAACGCAAAATTAATTTGACTATTTCAAGCAGATGACTTTAAACCAAATTATAATTTTGTTGATTTTAAGAGAATGATTCCCTCTTAAATTGATAAGGCAAGTGTGTGTGTGATGCTATGCCACGTTTGGTAAATATTTGTTTTATTGATTCAGAACCCGTATCCCTGTTGTTTGTTTCTTGATGAGAGATATATTTGTGCTCATCAAGTGATGCCTTTAATAATGGATATAAAACATGCCAGATATGATTTGGAGAAGATATTTTTCAGCAGATAACCTATTTCTGCGTGTGTGAAGCCTTTTCTTTAGTAAGAAAATAGAATGTGCCAAGCTGAAAAAAAATTGTGTAAATTAAGTGAAGGTAAGGATAGAGAACCTGCTGTTTGATATGTCTGGTTTTCTAGAGGTCAAGAATTGGACATGTGTTTTACGCCTCTTAGCATCTGATTGTCTTGCTCCCTACATCTCCAAGTGTAGGAGGGAATCAATAACTTTGACTTAAAATTTCTCTCCCAAAAGCTTATAATATTTAGAAGTAACATCTCAAGTTTAGCCAGTAGCTCCAATCACAAATTAACCATTTAGTTTCCAAAAATGAAATGAAGCTTGTGGGCTAGGCAAAAATAAATTTTTCCCTTAGCAGTGTGTAATGTCATTGTGTCTCCCGTGAAAGGACCGGTGACCGCGTGCCCCTCCACTGCGTGGACAGACATCCCAACCAGCAGCATGTCGTGGCCACCGGTGGCCAGGATGGAATGCTGAGCATTTGGGATGTTCGACAAGGCACGATGCCCGTGTCTCTGCTGAAGGCTCACGAAGCTGAAAGTAAGTGCTGTGGGATTAGAGGGTGTTTGTCAGGCAGGTTATACAACTCTGCTGTAAGCAGCTTTCCAGGGTGATTGTAGATCATACATGAATCATTTCGTATCCTAGCATCGGCTGAGTTTTATCAATTTACTTCATAACATCTTTTTTATTAGACATTTACTTTCTTTCTTTCTTTTTTTTTTTTTTTTTGCTTTTTGAGTCACACTTGGCGATGCACAGGGGTTACTCCTGGCTCCACACTCAAGAGTTACTCCTGGCGGTGCTCAGGGGACCATATGGGATGCTGGGAATCGAACCCAGGTACGCTGCGTGCAAGGCAAATGCCCTACCCGCTATGCTATCTCTCCAGCCCCGACATTTACATTCTTTAATATGTTCTTTAAAATCTCCGGCGTCCTGTATGGTCACCTGTGCACCTTCTTTAGTGTTCCCTGAGCACAAGAGCCAGGAGAAAGGCTTGAGCACCCCTGGGTGTGCCCAAGGACAAGAAAACAAAGCAAAAATTACCAAATTCAGGAGCTGGAGAGAGAGTATAGGGGCGAAGACAGTTGTCTTGCACACAGTGAACCTCTTCAAATTCCTGGCACCATATATCGACCCCTGAGCAACCACAGGGTTGTTCTTGAGCACAGAGCCAGGAGTAGCCTCCAGGTGTGCCCCCTTGTCTCCACCCCAGAAATAAAAATCAGCTTGTCCTGCATATTCAGTGCTGGAGAAATGGCCTTTCCCGTGCAAATTACAAGCTACTTTTACTTTCTTAGTTTTTGTTTTTGAGCCATACCTGACAATGCTTATGACTTATTCCTGATGGGGCCCAGGGACCATAAATGGTGTTGGGGACCAAACTGGGGTCAGTTGTGTGAAAGGCAAGCATCATATCTCTAGCTTCAGATTGTTATTCGTAATAATTGCTCATCTGTGTTTCTCGGTTTATTTTTGTACCTTTAAAGGGGAGTGTGTAGTGGATATGGCCCCTTGAGCACAGAGTCAGGTGTAAGCCCTAAGTAAAGGTAGGAATGGCAAAAGAAAAAAAACAATAATATGGGCTATTGTCCCCTTTTTTGTGGGGGAGGGTGTTTGGGGGTCACATCTGGTAATGCTCGTGGGTAACTCCTGGCTCTGCGCTCTGGAATTATTCCAGACAGTGCTTGGGGGACCCGTATGGGAAGCCTGAGACCAAATCCTAGTTAGCCTTGTGCAAGGCACCCTATCTGTCTTATCTCTCCAGCCCCTCTTGTTCCTGTTTTGTTAGGGATTTTTCTTTTGCTGAACAGAATGAATACGAAAAGGGATAGAGGTTCGGACAGATAGAACAGTAGATAGGTCACTTGCATTGCATGCAGCTACCTGGTTGGATCCCCAACACTGCATAGGGGCCCTGACTATTTCCAGAGTCAAGCCTGAGCAGAAGACCAGGAATAGGCCCTGAACACTGCCAGATTGGCCCAAATCGAAAGAGAAATAGGTAAAGGGGTCTGGAGGTGTGAGTGAGTGGGAAAGCACCTAGCTTGCACGAGTGGGGCTCTGAATCTGATTCTTGGCACGGCAGTAAAATGGGTTGGGGTATAGGGAAGCCCTGAAGAGAACTAGCACACTGGTAAAAGAATTACAGACTCAATCTCTAGTCAGTCCATTTTTAACTGCCAGCCTGTACCTGGTGGACAGGACCGGATATGTTGGGTTACACTCTGCAGTGCTCAGGGGTCCATTCCTGGCTCAGGGCTCTTGCAGCATCAGAAATCAACCCGGGGCTGCTTGGAAGAGGCTGCTTGGCAGACAAGTGCCTGTTTTCTCTTCTGTCTCTTGACACCAGCCCGTGCTCTTCCCCAGGACAGAGTTGTTGTGACTTGTGTTTTGAGTCTATCTTGACTCCTGGCTAGAAATTAACTAAGACTTCATGGATAGATAGATAGCCAGAGGGTTGGGGCGTATGGTTTGTATGTGGGAGCCCCAGCTTTAGTCTCTGGCACATCATCCCCTGAACCATCACGTGTGGTCCGAAGATGAACAAAATGTGTTTTGTAAAAATACACATTTTCTAATTTGAAAGTAAATTTAATATGTATGAGTCTAGATTTGGGTAGCCTGCACTGTAGACTTTTTTTTTTGTTTTACTTTGTTGTAACGGGACAGCACAAGTGTATTTGTCCAGGGCTTCACTGAGAATAGAGGTTCCCAATCCTAGCTGACTCCCACCCCCGCTTTTCAGGAAAGAAATCACTCAGTGCCTGCCTACAAATCTACCTTCTGTAAGCAAACAGAAGGTGCCTCAAGTTCTACCCAAGGCTATTCCCCGTACCCCATTGATCCCATGCAGCTATGTGAGGTTGGGGGGTATCATTGCCCACTATGGGAGAGACTGGCCCAGAAGTCCCCAGGGAAGGTGACTCCTTTGTGTTTTGTGTTCAGATGTTCAGTGTTGGAATAAAAGCTGCCAGCTTGCACACTTGGTTTTTCGGTCACACCCGATGATGTACAGGGGTTCCTCCTGGCTCTACACTCCTAGCGGTGTTTGGGGGACCACATGGGATGCCGGGTATCGGACCCTGCATTTTCCATGCTCCTCTAGGCTCTTGCTGCTGCCTCAAAGCCACTTAATTCAGCATCCCGAACAAGGGTTCGGGATGCACCTGTTTCCTCTGCATGTCAGGGAGTCCTGGCCCGTCACTGGTTCCTTGATGTGAATTGGCACACTAACTTCCCCTGAGAGTTTAGTTTTATCCCAAATTGGCTTCTTAAAAGCCCTCCATCTGAAGCTGGATCCAGATTCTGGTCGTATTTCCAGGTTTGGGTTTGCCAGGAGTTAGTTTTGCTGTTTAAGTGGTAATGCCTGAAATGTGCAGAGTCCAGGCATGAGTCACAGGTGAACTCTGCCTCAAAGGTACTTGATCCATATTTTACCTTTTTTTTTTTTTCCTAAAAAAAGAATAAAAGGGACTGGAGCGATAGCACAGTGGGTAGGGCATATGCCTTGCACGCAGCCGACCCGGGTTTGGTTCCCAGCACCCCATATGGTCCCCTGAGCATTACCAGGAGTAATTCTTGAGTGCAGAACCAGGAGTAACCCCTGTGCGTCACCCGGTGTGACCCAAAAAGCAAAAAATAAAAAAATTGAATCATTGTGAGATAGATGATCACAAAGCTCTTCAGGATTGAGTTTCAGTCGAACAGTGTTCCAACACCCGTCCCTCCACCAGTGTACATTTCCCATCACCAGTGTCCCCAGTTTCCCTCCCGTTGGATAACATTGGGTTTTCCTTGCTCCTCCCACAGGGAGCTTAGGTTTATTGAGCTACTCCCACAATAGTGCGTCTCAGGCACACCCAGTTCCATCAAGCACTAATAATCCTATATTGCTTTTTTTTTCCCTTTATGTCATTTGCGTGGTTTAGTAATGGCCTTTTCATATAGACACAGAAAGACAGTTGATGCTATGCTTTTGTAACACGGGAGTTAATTGACTCCAAATAATATTTACTCCTGGGCATCCATCATGTTTACCTCACTTAATCCTCTGTTGCCCTTAGCACTCCAAAAGCAGGGTCCCAGCAAAGGGACTGGATGGACTCATGGCAAACTGTAGCCTACCCTGGCATTGGAAAGGAACAAGCTAAGTGCCACAGGAAGTATAAGTTAAGAGCACGGTCATGGAAAAACTCTTGTCATGACCCCACACAAAGTAACTGAATAAGGAACCCTCTGGGGTTAGGAAAGATATATAGTGAGATAGTCCCCAAGAAGAGTCAACCTTTAAGCTTACAGTCTCTTACAGTCTTAGAATATTTCTAGTCATCCGAAATGACTAGAAATATTATAGGAAGTAAATTTACTGCATTTGTTTAATGTATTACTAACTGAAATAATATGATGTTGCAAACTCCTCATGGCGTACCCAATATGCCAAATACCAGTAACAGTGATGGGTCTCATTCTCCTAACCCTGAAAGAGCCTTGCATGTGGCACTTTTTAGAATCTCAGGGCTAGGACGAAGAAGACGTTACGTTACTGGTGCCTGCTCGAGGCAATCGATGAACAACAGGATGATGTGATCATGATTACTAGCTGAGGAAAGGAGAAAGTAATACACCCTGGATGGAATCCCACCCTTGAGCAGATCTCCTAGTAGCCTAGAGTGCTGAACCCTCAGATGAGATTTTATCCTTGAGTTAATCCCCTAGAACTTCCCCTGAAAGAGCAGCTTTACCTCTGTTTGTTGTTAAGACAATGTTCAACTCTACCTTTGTGTATTCATGATTTCTGTATAACTATGCTGTAAGGGGAGAGAGGGAACTAGAAAGAGGATGACTGAAGACTATGGAGAGGACGTTGAGGTCTGTGATCTCTGCTCAGGGATGACTCGGCAACACTCAGGACAAAATGCAGTACCAGGGATCTAACCAGGGTTGGCCCTATGCGAGACAGGTGGCTTAACCTCTGTACTATCTCTCCGGCCATAGAGTCCTAATTATCTCATCACAGTTATCCAGGAAGAAACTTTGTGATGAGATTGGCATTATTTTCATTGATCTTAGGGGAGGATGTTGGCCTCCCAAGTGGTGCCCTTGGGTCCCTCCTGGAGAGGCCAGCTGGCCAGCAGTCAGCGCTTCCGCGCAAGGCCCTGAGGATGCCAGGGATCATGGTGCAGCCACCTCTAGGGTTGCATCCAGCAACACCTTTTCAGTCCTTTCTGGGGGCCTCCAGGCCCAGAATTTCACCTGCTGGAGATTAGATGGAGGTCAGGCACTCGCCAGACAGGCCTTCACCCCGTACTAGCATCACTCCGGTCCCTACTTGACTTCTCCACCCCGTCTACATGTGATAGCGATGTGGAGAGTTGTGGCTTGCATTCTTGAGCCTTTTGTTTTCATTACCAACTTGGGGGTTGATGATTGTGATGGATATGAATAGGAGAGGGTCCCCATAAACAAGGTTTTGACGTTCCACTAAATCTACACAGGAGTAAATGTTTTTTGTTCTTCACTTTTAGTGTGGGAAGTTCACTTTCACCCATCCAACCCAGATCATCTATTCACTTGTTCTGAAGATGGATCCCTCTGGCATTGGGATGCCTCCACAGATGTACCTGAGAAATCTTCACTCTTCCACCAAGGTAAAAGGGCTGTGGGTTTTATTCTTGGCGGGGTGGGGAGGAGGGCTGCCGCTCGTGGTTGCTCTCAGGGACCCCTGCAGTGCTGGGCAGGTAGCACGTGTGCTCCGTCTCCCTATCCTCACTCGGCGTAAGTGTCACATTCCTACCAGTGACTAGACACTTCTTAGTGTGGAGGTCTGCTACAGTGAACTGAACAAAAAGTGTCCACGGGGGCCAGAGCAGTAGTACAGTGGTGAGGACATTTGCCTTGCATGCAGCTGTCCCAGGTTTGATCCCTGTCATCCCATACAGTCTACCAACCCTTGCCAGGAGTGATCCCCAAGTGCAGAGCCAGAAATAAGCCCAGAGCATCGTCTGGTGTCACCCCAAAAGACAACTAACAAAAAGGTGTTTGCACACAGAGAGTAGGTTCAGTAGCGGGCTTTAAATAAATAAGGGCTCAATCAGAAACTACTGGAAATTTAGAAAGAATTAGTTTCACATCTGTAGGAAGGAGTAGGAGAACACGGGAAATAGGAGGGACGTTGGAAAAGCAAGGAAGAAGAAGGCCAGGTGACGGAGACAGTACTAAGGACCGGAGCATGTGCTCTGCTCTGAGAGCTCAGGCTTCAGTGCCCAGCACCACGTGCTCCTCCACACAAAGCCAGAAGTAGTCCCTAAGCACTGCCAGGTTTAGATCAAAACCAAGAGTCATGCTCAAGAACAAAAAGTTCAGGCTAGAGCGATCGTACAGCAGATAGGGCACAGTGCATGCTGCTGACCCAGATTTAATCTCTGGGAACCCTGGAGGGGGCCCTAAGCTTGCCAGGAATGATCCCTAAGTGGAAAACACCGCCGCGTGTGGCCCCCAAACCATGTATATATCTCCCACTGCTGCTGCTGGTGCACTGTCAGAAATACTGTCATCATTGAGTCTGACTCCGCAGGTGGCCCACTGCCAGGCTGGAATGACTGCTAAAACCAGGAGGGGGACAGAGCTGTTGCTCCCCCCACCCACAGGTCCTTCCTTAGAGGCGGGATCTGCTTTGCAGGCAGAGGCCAAAGAGAACTGGAAAATGAAATTTGTCTCTGCGACAGATAGTCGAGCACAGAGCAGTGGGAATGGGACTCAGCAAAAAGGAGAACAACTAGACCGGTTGCCCTGATGACTATCAAAAGAACTGAAGCAGAGGCGGAGGGTAAAGAATGAAGAAGGGGTGGGAGGGCTTGCTCCAAGGCCTGATGGTGGAGACAGCATTGGAGACGAAGGTGAGAACCTTCCAGGAAACAGCAAATACCCAGGGCCCGAGACCGGGCTGCAGTTGAAGGGCAAACAGGAATGGAACACGTAGAGGTAGCTGCGGGTCAGTCCTGTGCAGAACCATGATGAAGACTCTGGATTTTATTCTGGCTGTGATAGAAATCCACTGGGTGGGGAAGCAGCCTGTTTCTGAAGAACCACCCTTGCTGTGGTGGGAAATGGACTGTGTGAAGGAGGATGGCAAAATTCAAGCAGGAGGACTCGGTGGAAGACTTAACCTCAGTGCTTTTACCAATGCCAGTTTCCCAGTATTTTAAGCGTAATGTAGGGGGCAGAGGTGTGCTCCGTGGTGGAGTGGGGACCTTGAAGTGTGACCTGCAAGCCCAGGCACTTGCCCTGGACGTGGTCAACCTGGGTGTGATCCCTAGCACTCCCTATCATCCCTGAGCACCAGCAGGAGTGATTCCTGAGGTCAGAGTCACTTCGGAGCAGCTTCTGAGTATCACGGGGTGTGGCCCAAAAACAAACCAAAAACTGTTCGAAGATAGAGGCCTGAGAGATAGTCCGGGGTTAAGTCACTTATAAGCTTTTCATTCAGCCAACCCCAGGTCAGTCCCTGACACCACATAGTCCTCTAAGTACCACTGAGTACAGGAAGTGCTGGAGGCCCCAAGAATGGTCAGGTGTGCCCCCGGAGTCTCCCCGAGCATTGGGATGGCACGGGGCCCTCGGCGCTGTACTGAACTGGCCAAGAATTTGCCGGGAGCAGACCCTGGCCCTACTGACCACCACTTGAGGGGCCCTCCCCCCCCACAAAAAAATTGGTAATAAACATCACAAGATAGTAGATGAGGGGTCAGAGAGACAGGACAGTGGCAAAGGCATTGTCTTGTACATGTCCGACCCATATGGTCTCCTGACCCCACCAGGAGTGGTCTGAGTGCAGAGCCTGCAGTAATTCCTGAGCACTGCTGGGGTGGCCCAAAACCAAAAATAAGATAATGAATGGAATATACAATTGCTGAGGGTTCCAGGAAGGAAGAGGGACTCATGAATTAGACTGTCTCAGAACCTTCACCACTGTACTGTCTCTGACTCACTACCACTTATTAAGGAAAATCTGACCTTATTTGATCCAGCGGAAAGTGTTTTTTTTTTTAATTGCAAAATTGCTTTGTATGTATGTGTGAGGCATACATACTACCACTGAGCCACATGCCCAGCCCCAGTTAATTCTACATTAACAGAGCATTTCGCTAGACGTGTTGCTCATTGGTAGAGCATTTCCCTTAAATGTCTGAGGCCCGGGGCTGGAGCAATAGCACAGCAGGTATGGTGCTTGCCTGGCACACGGCCAACCTGGATTCGATCCCTGGCACCCCATGTGGTCCTTTGAACTCACCAGGAGCGATCCCTGAGCATCTCAGGGTGTGACCCAAAACGCCTTCAAATAGTTAAAAAAAAAAAAGTGTGAATCTCTAGGTTTAATCCCCAGCAACACATACATAGGTACATGCATATTAAGTACAGGGGCCGGAAGAATAGTACAGCAGATAGGACGTTTGCCTTGCACATGGCTGACCTAGGTTCTATCCCCAGCATCCCATATGTTGCCATATGTTGAGTGCAAAGCCAGGAGTAACCCCCGAACATCACTGGGTGTGCCCCCTGAACTCTCCCCCTTTGCTTAGGAGCCTGCGTGATAGTGGTCCTCGATCCCTGCCAGGTGTGATCCCTGAGTACAGAGCCAGGAGTAAGCCTTGTGCACTACTAGGTATGGGTCACAAACTCAAAAAAGACCAAGTTTTTTTTTAGAAATACCTACTTCAGAAATAATAGCATATTTTTATTTTTTGAGAAATACTCATCTAGAAATACGTCCAGATTTTTCTCCTTTGTGTGTGTGTGTGTGTGAGTGGTGCCCAGAATCAAATACAGGACTTCACACGGTGAGCATATACTCTCCCGTTCAGCTGCCTCGCTGGGCCAGATAGTTTTCTCGTGGTCCCTTCATTTCTTTTTACCTGAGCTTATACATGTATTATCTTTGTTTCCTACATTTTTGCTTTCATTATTTCTTTTGTCTTCTACCTGTCCTCTCACCTTTTGCTGCCCCTTTTTTGGGGGGGTGGGGGAGAGGTGCACACCCAGCTCCGTTGAGGATTTATTCCTGGCTCTGTGCTCAGGGATCATTCCTGGCAGCACCCCATAAGTGGTGCTGGGGAGTGAGCCTGGATCAGCTGTGTGCACGGTAAGCACCCTGCCTGCTGCACTCTCCGCCCCACTGTATTCTTGAGACTTTCCATTGAATGAGCCGAAAGACAGAATCATAATCTTGTGCTTTGCCTGAAGACTTCAAACTTGACAGCTTATACTAGCTCTTGGAGCGTTCCATATTTCCTGTCACAGAATCAGTCTTTGGTCCAAAATGGTGAGTATGGGACTGGAGCAAAATAGTTCAGAGGGCAGGGTGTTAGCCTGCATGTGGCTGACCCGGGTTCAGTCCCCAGAACCCCATATGATCCCCGGAGCACTGTCAGGGGTAATTCTTTTTTTTTTTTTAATAATTTATTTCTTTATTGAATCACTGTGGGAAAAGTTACAGAGCTTTCGGGTTTAGGTCTCAGTCATGTAAATATCAAATACATTTCCCTTTACCAATACTTATTTTTAACCGCGAACCCCAATAGAACCCCACCTCCCACCCCTCCCAATTCCTGTGAGGCAGATGAGTTCTAGTTAATACTCTATCTACTTTGACTAGATACATTGTTTCGATAGAAGATGCACCATTATTGTTTAGAGTTTACGACCCCCCCCAATCAGATATGCTGAAACAGCGTTGTGAAATGATTTGCTTTCTACAGCTGGGTTTAAGAATAAAATGATGTCGCGCGGCCGCAACAGCGGCCACGCGGTTTTGGATTTCTGCTATTTTACTTATTAACCCTGGAAGTATTTCTATTAAAAGTTAGATAGTTAAGAGATTGGTTTCTGTGCTCTGGAGTCGTGGCCGTGCCGGAGAGCCGCTCGTGGGGGGCAGCTGGTGACCTCGGTCGGGCGTGAAGGATGGCCCAGAACGCCCCCCTTCCCATGAGGTCTGTCGGGTAATTCTTGAAGCACAGAGCCGGGAGTAACTCCTGAGCATCAATTGGATATGGCTCTAAATAAACTAATTAATTAAATGGTCATTAGAACTGGAAAGATAGTCCAGGGGTGAAGGTTCTGTCCCCAGCACCACATATTGCCCCCCAAGCACCCTGAAGAGTAAGCCCTGAGCACTGCCTGGTGTGGTCCAACACCATTCCGTCCCATCCCCCCACCCCATCCCTGTCAAAAAGCATAAAAGGTAAATAGTACAGACTTATCTGTCCATTCAGAGAATGAGACAAGTTTAAATCATTGACTTTTTAAAATACCGTTAGAGGGGCTGAAGCTATAGTACAGCGGGTAAGGCATTGGGCAGGGTGTTTGCCTTGTACACGGCCGACCCGGGTTCGATTCCCAGCATTCCATGTGGTCCCCTGAGCACTGCCAGAAGCGATTCCTGAGTGCAGAGCCAGGAGTAACCCCTGTGCATTGCCAGGTGTGACCCGAAAAGGAAAAAAAAAACAAAAATAAAATACCATTAGGTTTGTGGATTTTCCCATCAAATTGGTCTTGAAAGTTTTTTTTTTTCTCTCTCTTTCCTTTCTACTCCCAGGAGGAAGAAATAGTACATTTTTGTCTCATAGCTTTAGTAACCAGGCCAACGTTCACCAGTCTCTCATAAGCAACTGGCTCAGCTCCGATCCTACAAAAGACCGTATTGAAATCACAAGCTTGCTTCCCAACAGGACTTTGTCTGTGAATAGTTTGGATGTTTTAGGTCCTTGTCTTGTGTGTGGAACTGATGCAGAAGCAATTTATGTTACTAGACAACTTTTCTCCTGAAAGTACTATAATTACAAATTTTCAGATTGATTACATGTTTAGCCTTCTAAATTCCAAGTTCTATGCAAAGTTTTATTATTGGAAAGTGCCAGTAACATAATGATACCAGTGCCCAGTTTTGGCTTTCAGTCGTTGGATATTCCCGTAACTGTTGCAGAATCTCATGGCTGGCAAAAGGAGATGAACTTGTAGCTCATCAGATGGATCTCTATACTGATGTATGTACTGCCTTCAAACTGTTGTGGACAGTTCACGGAACCGAGTCCCGTTATTGACGCGGGACATAATTCTGCGATCCATCAGCTGGGTCCTATCATTTATATCACAGTATCTGGATTATACTCCTTAAGAGACATTAGCTAGTATTAGTGTTTATTCTTTTTATTGAATGTATATTCTGTCCTTCCACATTTTCCCACCTTAATAATGTTAATAAACCTTGTCAGAAGTTCGGTAAAGCAAAAATGACTGTCATAGTTTTGATTTTTTTTTTCTAAGTGGAAAATGTTTTGACAGGCTTCTTTTATTAGAGAAAAGACTTGAATTAAATTGTGTCAACTGCTTAATCCAGCCATTTTTCCCCTAAGGATTTTTGCGTTTTTTTTTTTTTTTTGGTTGAAAATTGCCAAACTAGACATTGGGTGATAAAATTTGACAATGATGAATAAAGCAATATCTAAACTAAAATCTGATAGATTACATGTAATGAGACTAATATGATGATTTGGTAACAGTAAAGAAGTTTGCTACCAGTATTCTGAAATATAACTGATTGTTTTAAGACCGTTTATGATGCTGCCTTTTCAATATTTATTAGATTTATTGAAGAGTGTTATTGAACTGCTAAGACTTTATTCACTAATCACTGCTCTGACAAAATTAGAATGTGTATTCATTTTGCATTTTAATTCCAGTAATAGTAATTATGGTAAAGTTTTGCTTCTCTATCCTAATAAATACTTTGACTTTTTTTTTTAATGACACCTCACCTCAGGGTTTTTTGGGGTTTTGTTTCTTATAACATTTGAAAATGGAGTACATATTTGCATCTGCTTTTATATATAAAAATATCTGATTAGAGATAATAACTGAATTTCGTATCATTATTGCTGGGGAGAAATGTTGCTTATAGGAATTTTTAACCTGTGTATATATAGTTTTATTGATAGCTGGGACTGATTTATAAAACTTTCTGTTATTACAAAAAAAGATTCATTACAAAAATGTATATAGTCAAGAGAAAATTTTAATACATGATACAAGTCTTTTTGGTACCCTTTTCTATTCATTCACGTGTATAGTTTTTTTTTAATAAATATGCCATTTACATTATATTTGTAGCTGCCCATTTCCTAGCAGTAAACAAATGGACTTGAGAATAAAAATGCAGCTATGAAATTATCCTTTGATTTTTTTCTTTTTTAAATCTCCCTTCATATGAATGTCTTACTGCCACCTAAGTTGCAGTGTCGCTCTCTTCCCCATTAGAGACCCCCCCCTCCTTCTGCCTAACACCCTAACATCCTTGCTCTGTGCAGCTGTTGTCCATCAAACTCTGGGAGACTCACTTCCAGGGTCACATTTTCTGTGTGCAGTGAGTGGCAAGTTTGTTGTGCCTCTGGTTTTATCATCAACTGCTGCTGAAAATGTGAAGGTGTCCCGTGTGCCGTCAGCTCCATCTCCGTTTCCAGCAGCAATGTATAGGATTTCCCTGGGTACTAAAATGAGTCGAGGAGGGAGCCAGACCTATAAACTTGTAATTCTCTTGGACTAGAAACAAGTTTCCAATTTGAATGTTTGCTGTGATTTTAAGGGTATTTGTAACCGTGATTCAAAGAAAGTACAAAGGAATCATTACATTTCCTCTCAGTTGAGGGGTTTGCCAGATTTAAATAGAAATATCAGCTTTATGTAGTATAAAACCCTAACTTCTGAAACTGTTACCGCCTTCATGCACCAAAGTTAGTGTTTCTTTTGAGGAATACAGGGTCTCTGGTGGAAGTACCTTGGAGAGCATCTTCAGCCAAAATTTAATTCTACAGCCGTCTCAAACTCTCCTGGAAATAACCTGGGATTAAGTCTTCTGTTTTCCAATGCAGGCTCTCCTTGTTCAGACAACTCTGACTGAAACAGCGTTATGGCAAGGGTTTCAGTGCCTGAGTGGCATCCCAGGAAGGTAGAATCATGTTTTTGTGGATTAAGTAAGTGATCGTGTGAACCTCCCATGACACAGAGCTAATCACCAACTTGCCAAGTTTGTAATATGTTGGGCTACCTAATGGTTTCACTAAATAAATGGATTTTCATATACTGAACTGAAATTCCTTTGTCTGCTTTCCTCAGACACCACACACACAATAAAAAAAAAATTAAACCTCATCACATATAAATATTGATAAGTACATACTATAGTTTCTTTGAGTCTCTTTAATCATGTGTCCCTGTGGTGGAGATTTCCTTCCCCAGCCTTTCTTGCCTTTCTTGGTTAGTTCTTCCTTCTGGATTTCATGAGTCATTTTGTCAAGAAAGCCTTTCTTGCCCTCATAATCCTGGCTAACTCAGACCTGTTTCAAAAGCCCATTGGAACTTGTACGTTTACAGGCAGGTATTTAGCTGCCTAACTCCCTCTAGTGGACAACAAGCTCAAGTCTTATTTTTCATTGTCTTTATTAATATTGAATATAAAATCCGACCCATAGAAACATCGAATCAGTATAAACCAACTCACAATCTTCTTTCCCTTTAAAAAATACTCCTGAGATGGAGGGGAGATAGATCAAAGTGCTAAATCATGCTTTGCATGTGGGAGGCTAGAATTCAATCCCAGGCTAGCCTGTATGGGCCCCAGAGCACTGCCAGGAGTGCCTCCTGAGCCCTGCTAAGTGTGGGTACCGCCCTCTGAAAAAATACTTCTGGGCTGGGGAAATAGCAGGAAAGGACTGGAGTGCACAGGGCTTTGGTCCACTCCCTGGCCTCCCAGACACCACAGTAAAGCCTGGTGGCCCCCAGCACCACTGTGAAAACTCCTAAACAGTTAAAAACGGCCAGAGAGATAGTGCAGTGATAAGGAACTTACCTTGCAAGTGACTGACCCAAGCTTGTTACCCATTACTCCACATAGTCTCCCGAGCACCACTATAAGTGATCCCTGAATGCAGAACCAAGAGTAAGCCCTAAGCACTCCCAGTGTGGCCAGGAGGAAAAAAAATCAAGTTTATCAAGTTTCTTAAGTCTGTAAGCATATCATATATATATATATGTGTATATATATGTATATGTGTATATATATATATATATATAAAATTGGGGGGGATCATACCTGGCAGTGCTCAGGGGTTAATCCTGGCTCTGCACTCAGGAATTACTCCTGGAAATACCCTGAGTACCCCTGGTACACTCAGGAAATACCCCCTGAATACCCCTGGTACTCAGGAGACCATATGGGATGCTGGGGATCAAACCCAGGTTGGCTACATGCAAGGCAAGCACCCTACCTGTTGTACTATCACTGTGACCCACATTTACCATATTTTGGGGTAAATGCAGAGAGTTTTGATCTTTTCTATAGGTGTGTATCCTTGTTCTAAGTAAAATAGTGTAAAAATTATCAAGTAGGGGATTGATATTTCAAAGTTCATATACTTTGCATGTGGGAAGTCCCAAGTTTCAAATTTATTTTACTTTTTGGTTTGGGGGCTGCACCCGGTGGTGTTCAAGGCTTACTCCTGGGTCTGCATTCAGGAATCATTCCTGCTGGGTTTGGGGCACCATATGGGGTATGAAGCCACGTTGGCCACATGCATGGCAAGCACCCTACCCGCTATACTAGGGCTCCAGCTCAAGGGAAGTTCAGGTTTGATCATAACACATGGTCCTCAAGCACCACCAGGAATGAGCATCCCCTGAGCTCCTTTGGTGTGGCTCAAAGACAATATATATATATATATAATCTACTGTGGAACTTTTCTAGAAGTAAATTTTTTGGTTTTGTTTCTGTGCCACACCTGGCAATGCTCAGGGCTTACTCCTGGCTCTGCAATCGGGAGTTACTCCTAGCAGGCTTAGGTGACCGTATGGGATGCCAGGGTTTGAACCCAGGTTGGCCTTGTGCAAGGCAAATGCCTGACCTGCTTTATTATCACTCTGACCCCCAGAAGTAATCTTTCAGCATATTCTCTACCTTAATTCTGTTAGGAGATAAGTGGGCTGAAGTGCTCAAACCCTCTCCTCAATAATAATTTTCAAACGTCTTCCCTGTAGGATTGAGGAGACAGCTCAAAGAGCTAGAATGCATTCATGTTCTGCCCGTAGGAGCCCTGGGTTCTAGCCTCAGCACCTCCAGAAGCAACAAATGAGCAGAGTTAGGAGCAGCCCCTCAGCACCAGTGGCAGTGGGTCTAAAAATAAACACAGGGGCTGGAGTGACAGCATAGCAGGTAGGGCATTTGCCTTGCACGCAGCTGACCCGGGTTCGATTCCCAGCATCCCATATGGTCCCCCAGCACCACCAGGAGTAATTCCTGAGTGCAGGCAGAGCCAGGAAGAACCCCTGTACACTGCCAGGCGTGGCCCAAAAAGCCAAAAAAAAAAAAAAAAAACCAAAAAAAAAACCACATATGCCTCTTCCCTGGGTGCTGCGTGTTCCTATTCCCATAGTCTCTGAGCATAAAATCTGACCCCTGCAAAACAAAACAAAACCCAAATCTCTACTTCCAAGTGCTCAAGGGCTGAGAATGCTGAAATTGAACTAAGGATTTCTATTCCAGGGGCAGAGTGATAGTACAGTGGGTACAGCACTTGTCTTGCATGCAGCCAACCCGAGTTCAATCCCTGGCATCCCCTAACACTGCCAGCAATGCAGAGGCAGGAGTAAACCCTGGGCATCGCTGGGTGTGAACCCAAATAAAAGGCCTTTTAAAACCAATTTTCTGGGGCTGGAGGATTGAACTTATGCATCCCGTGCTGAACCTGGGGTTTGCCCCTTTGTACCACACAGTTTCAGCACTTTCTGGTTTCTCTACCCCCTAGCAGAGTTGGGTACTGTCTCTGAAAAAAAAAATTGTTTTTGGTACCACCTTGGAGAGCCCGGCAAGCTACTGAGAGTATCCCGCCCGCACGACAGAGCCTGGCAAGCTCCCCGTATTCAAGATGCCCAAAACAGTAACAACAAGTCTCACAGTGGAGATGTTACTGGTGCCTGCTCGAGCAAATCGATGAACAACGGGAGGATAGTGACAGTGATAGTGACCACATCGGGATACTTAGGGATCACTCCTGGTGGGGTCCTGGATCCCTTATTATAGGGATGCAAGGACCAAATCTGGGCTGGCCCGTGTAAGGCAAATGCCCTCCCCACTGAGCTATCTTTCCAGCACACACAAAAATATTTTTTAAACAAAGGGTGGTCCCGTGTTTTCAACCACAAACCCATCAGTTCACACCCTCAACTACCAATCCTCTGAACAAGAAACCCAAACGTTCTTCTGGCTGCACTATTGCAACTAGGACCAGTAAGGCTTCCTTTTTCCTGGGTTAGGTTGCTAGTCTAGCACTGTCCTCTGGTTGTTCATCGATTTACTCGAGCGGGCACCAGTAACATCTTCATTGTGAGATTCGTTGTTAACTGTTTTTAGCATATCGAACACATCATTTGCTCGAGCGGGCACTGGTAACATCTTCATTGTGAGACACGATGTTACTGTTTTTGGCATATTGAACACATCACGGGTCACTTGCCAGGCTCTACCGTGAGGGCCGGATACTCTCGGTAGCTTGCCAGGCTCTTGGAGAGGGGCGGAGAAACTGAACCCGGGTTGGCTGCATGCAAGGTAGACAACCTACGCTATCGCTCCAGCCCTAAGTTGCTAGTAGCAAATCTTAAAAATTTCTCCAACCGTTCAAATCTGGTTTGGGGAAAAAGACTCCTGGCTGAGTCAGAAAACACCTCAAGGGGCTGGAGCGATAGCACAGCGGGTAGGGCGTTTGCCTTGCATGTGTCCCACTCCGGTTCGATCCCCAGCATCCCACGTGGTCCCCCAAGCACCGCCAGGAGTAATTCCTGAGTGCAGAGCCAGGAGTAACCCATGAGCATCAAGGGATGGCTGGGATGGGAGATATGTGCTGAAAGTAGATAAAGGACCAAACATGGTAGCCTATCAGTATTTACACTGCAAACCAGTGCTCAGAAGCAGAGAGGGAGTATGAGGGAAACTGTCTGCCACAGAGGCAGGAGGAGGGTGGAGGTGGGGGAATACTGGGGACATCACTATATCTGTATCACTGTCATCCTGTTGTTCATCGATTGCCTCGAGCAGGCCCCAGTAATGTCTCCTCCGTCCTGGGGACATGGGTAATGGAAAATGCACACTGGTAGAGGGAGGAGTCTCTGATCATTATATGGCTGAAAACTCAATCATGAGAGCTTTGTAACTAACTCAGGGAATGCAAATAAAAAAAAACAAACCTTCCACCATATTTATTTACTTTTGCTTTTTGGGTCACACCCAGAGATGCACAGGGGTTACTCCTGGCTCTGCACTCAGGAATTACTCCTGGCGGTGCTGGGGTGGGGGTGGGGGGGACCATATGTGATGCCGGGAATCAAACCTGGATTGGCCGGGTGGAAGGCCACCGCCCTACCCACTGTGCTATGGCTCCAGCCCCAACAACTTCCATACTTAAAATAATTTCAAAATCAATTTTTAAAAATTCCAAATGGCGGGGACTGGAGTGATAGCACAGCAGGTAGGGCGCTTGCCTTGCATGCAGCCGAAACGGGTTCGATTCCCCAGCATCCCATATGGTCCCCCAAGCACTGCCGGGAGTTAATCCTGAGTGCAGAGCCAGGAGTAACCCCTGAGCATTGCTGGATGTGACCCAGAAAGAAAAAAAAAATTCCAAATGGCAAAAAACCCACAAAAAAAGAAAAACAAAAACAAAAAAAAACCCCACAAACCTCAGGTCACATAGCTTTGAGAGGGGGCACAGGAGAAGCAGCCCTAAATAATTCAATGAAATCAAGTTAGCCCTTAATGCAAACCCAAAAGCGCCCGGAACGCCCCCCACCCGACGTCCCTGCCTGGCGGTCCCCCTCGGAGGAGGAGGAGGAGGAGGCGCGCGCGGGCCGCCGCGTCCCCGTCCCCGCGGCTCGGGGCGGGCCTAGGGGCTGAAGGGGGCTCGCGGGGCGGGAGCGGCCGCGGCCTCCCAGCTGCCCGCGCGGGGACGCACCAGCCCGTCCGCCCACCCACCGACCCACCGACCCACCCGCCCGCGCAGGCCCCGGGGGCGCGCCCGCTCCCTGCCGCCCGCCGCGCGCCGCCGCCGCCGCCGCCGCCCCCGCGCAAGCGCCGCCGGGAAACGCCTACATCCGGGAAGGCTGCGGCCGGCCGCGGCGACGGCGGCGGCGGCGGCGGCGGCAGCGGCGGCGGCGAGTGGAAGGCAAGATGGCGGCGGCGGCGGCGGCGGCGGCCTGGTGCTGAGGGCCGAGGCAGGTCCCCGCGAGCCCCGCGCGGCCGGCCGCGCCCTCCCCGCGGCCCCCCGCGGCGCGCCTCTCCTCGCCCCGCGCCCCGGCCGACACCGCGGGGAGGGGGGAATCCCCCCGGGGGACGCGGGCCTGGGGCCGTCGCGCCCCCCCCCAACCCCCGCCCTCGCCCGGTGGCCGCTGTCCAGGAGCCCAGTCGTCCCCCTGGCAGGTGGGTCGCTCCCGGCGCGCGCGTTCTCCTCCTCCCGAGGCCGGCGGGGCCCACGCCCATCCTCCGGCGGGGCGCGGGTCCGACTCGGCCCGGGCAGGGGGGCCCGGTCGCTCGGTCCTTCGGTCGCTCGGTCCGCGCCCCGGGTCGGGTGGGGGTGGGGGGCTGCAAGGCTGAGCGGCGCGGGCTGGGCGGCCGGTCAGTCACTCCGGGGTGTGCGCGGCCCGCGGGAGGCGTCGCGTGGCCGCTCGTGCCTTCCCCACCTCCACCCCGGGGCCGGGCCGCGCGCAGGTCAGCGGGGCTGCGGCAGGAAGCGAGAGGCACCGAGCGAAACCGCCCCCCCCACCCCGGCCTCCCCACCCCCCGGGTGCCCGGCCCTGGCCCCTGCATCCCCGAGGGCCCGAGGGTGCGGGGAGCCCGGGAGAGGGGTCTGGGCATGGGTCTTCCTGCTGCATCCCCGAGGGACCCGAGCGTGCGGGGAGCCCGGGAGAAGGGCCCGGGCGTGGGTCTTCCCTGTGCATCCCGGAAGCCCCAAATGTGTGTGGAGCCCGGGAGAGGGACCCGGGCTGGATCTTCCCTCTGCATCCCCGAGGGACCCGGGAGAGGGGCCTGGGCATGGGTCTTTTTGCTGCATCCCCGATGTGGGGAGCCCGGGAGAGGTGCCCGGGCATGGGTCTTCCCTGTGCATCTCCGAGGGACCCGAACGTGCCGGGAGCCCAGGAGAGGGGCCCGGGCATGGGTCTTCCCTGTGCATCCCGGAAGCCCCGAGCATGTGGGGAACCCAGGAGAGGGACCCGGGAGAGGGGCCCGGGCATGGGTCTTCCCTGTGCATCCCGGAGGGCCCGAGCCTGCGGGGAGCCCGGGAGAGGGGCCCGGGCATGAGTCTTCTTGGCTGCCGTAGCTCTTCCCCAGTTTGGGGACGGGTCATAGCGGGGCAGCTGCGAGGGGCGTCCATCCGCAGGCGCACAAAGTGTGGCTCGACAAACGGGAAGGAAATTGAAGAGCGTTGTTGTTTATGATGATCATAACTGCCGCATGAACGTGGAACCTCCGAGAGGGACTCGCAGGAGACTTGTTTCCGCCCCCCTCCCTGCATGGGACTTCTCCAGTTGCCAAGTTCTTTTCCTAGCGGGAGGGGGGAGGCAGGGGAGAGGGGAGAAATAAAAAGACCATTTGTTATTTTGTTACGAGCTTTAGAGCTCGGTGATGCCCTGGAAGAGGGTCTTCCGAAATGGGAGTCACCAGTCTCGCCCCGGTTTTTTTTTTTGGGGAATGGATCTCCAACCTTTGATGGGTGATTGATTGACATTGAAAGGAAAAAGAAAAAAGTTGGACCGTATGTCCCGCGGGAGGATTAGGGTAGTGGTTATCATGGAAATCAGTTGGTCAGTTGGCTGCGTTTGCTCTTGTCTTCACTGTTATTTCTAACCTCGGGTAAGTGGACAGACTGGTAAAATAGGCTCCTTGAGTCTCTAAGGCAGCGGGAGCGTTGGTTGGGCTGAATTCGCGGTACTGAGTCGCATTTTGTTCCCCCAGTAGCTGCTCACTGCTTAGAAACTAGATCATGGCTCAGGGTGCGGAAGGCACATTCTTTGCTTTCTAATACTAATTAAATGTGCCTTGCCAAGCTCAAAAGCAGTCATTTCTACTACTTAAAGAACAAAGGTCTTTCTTTTGTTTTACCCATTTGGACCTTGAATTTGGGGGTGATGGATTGGGGGTAAAACCCAACTGTGCTCGTGTGGGGGGCGGGGGGCGGGGATTCTGGGCAGTGCAAGAGGATCAAACCAGGGTGCGCTATGTGCAAGTGTTTCACCTGCTGTAGCATCTCTCCAGGCCAAGTACACTGGAGTTTTGTTTGCTTTTGTTTTCAGTGATAGCCCTTGTTAGTCTATATATATATATATAAATAGCCTTGGAGGTTGGAGCGGTAGTACACTGGGCTGTGCTCTTCTCTTCCAGGAGGTAGACCAGTCCATCCCATATGGTCCAAGGGCACTGCCAGGAGTATTTCCTGAGTGCAGAGCCAGGAGTAACCATTGAGCATTGACAGGTGTAACACGAAAACAAAAAATAATAGCCTTGAAACAGTCCCAACTCTGGTTAGTTTACATTCTAGGTGTTATACTTAGATTACTTGAGGATTTTGTAGAACACAAAAAAATATTCATTGGACATTTATTTTCAGGTGGAAACGGCGATGATTTTGATCTCTTTTCTGGATGACATAAATTAAATGCAGTGATTATTTTCTCTTTTGACCACCTCTTTTTTAGAAAAAAGAATGTCATCAGTATGCAGATTTCTTCAAGGATAATGCATAGTGCTATTCAAGCATTGTGTCAAACACTGTTAGGCCTTATTAAAACAGATTTTATATGAACCTTACAAAGTGCATTTAAAAAGATAACAGCTGGTGAGTAGTTATGTTACATCTTCCTGAAGGAGGCTCTTGAGTGACACTTTAAAAACTGGGTATAGAGGCAGAGAGATAGTGCAGGAGAGGATAGTGTAAGATGCTTGCTTGTAGCAGATCCTTGGTACCAAATATGGAACCCCAAGAATTGTCAGGGTGATCCTTAAGCCATCATCAGGAGTAAGCACTGAGTACCACCAGGTGTGGCCCCAAACAGCCCCCTCAAAAAAAAAAATAAAAGGAGTGTAATCTCTTTTTTCTTTTTTTTTCTTCTTTCCTTTTTTTTTTTCTTTTGGCCACACCCAGAATTTCTCTGGATTTACTTCTTTCTCACGAGTCACTCCTTGTGGGACTCAGGGGACCTTATGTCATCCTGGGCATAGACTCCCAGCTCACTGTGTTAAAGGGAAGTGCTCTCTTCCTTGTACTGTCTCTCCATTTCTGGATGTAATTTCTACATGTAATAAACTTGTCAGGTATAAAGAGAGCTGTGGGGGCCTGGAGTGATATTACAGCGGCTAGGGTGTTTGCCTTGCATGCGGTCCAGCTGGGTTTGATCCCGGCGTCCCATATGGTCCTCCTACCACCACCAGGAGTAATTTCTGAGTGCGGAGCCAGGAGTTAACCCCTGAGCATTGCCGGATGTGACCCCCCCCCCAAGAAAAAAGAAGAAGAAAGCTGGGAATGTAATTGAGCAGTGGAGCACTTGCCTTTGCATAAGTGAGGCCTTGGGTTTAATTGGCAGCATTGCAAATTTTAGAAAAAAAGAAGGAAAAGATAAGAATAAACAAGGTAGAGTAGCACAAGGTATGTTAACTGAGAGAAAGTTACGTGGCTTCTTGGTTAGAGTGTAAGGTACAAGGGGGTGAGTTTGTGTTAGAAGTAACGGTATTTATTGAGGTAGGCATTTGTTTTATTGATCTTTTAAAGTCTTGGGTCATACTGGCATTCCTCAGGGCTTATTCCTGTCTGTGCTCACAGATGATTCCTGGTGATGGGTGCCTGGGGGACCTTATGCAGTGTGCTGGGATTGAATTGGGGGTGGCTGCGTCTGCGAGGCAAGCACCTTACCATTGTACCACTGTACTCTATGGTTCTCATATATTTTTGTTGATGTGTGTGTGTGTGTGTGTGTGTGTGTGTGAGAGGGGGGGCGGGGCATACTCACCAGTGCTCAAGGCTTATTCATACTGTCTTTATGCTCGGGGGGTCATTCCATGTGTGAACGAACATATGTGATGTGGAGGATAGGACCCAGGTCGACTGAGTGCCAGGCCTGCAGCTTACCCACCTCTGTACTAGCCCCCTCGCATCTAATGCTGTACAAGTTCTTTTATGGGGACAGAGTGATAGTGCAGAGGGTAGGGCACTTGCCTTGCATGTGGCTGACCTGGGTTCCATCCATGGCATCCCATATGGTCCCCCAAGCACTGCTAAGAGAATTCCTGAGTGTAGAGCCAAGAATAGCCCTTGAGGTCACTGCCACATGCAAAACCAAAACCAAAATCAGGGAGTTCTTTTAAGGGTGTTGGTGATAACTCAAAGGAGCTAGAGTGCGTCTGCTTTGCCTGTTGCAGGCCAGGGTTCCATCCCAGGCATCACATGTTCCCTGGGTCTTGCGCTAGCATTTCTAAATGACCTCTGAGCGGGCACTGGTGTTCAGGGCCTGCTTCCAGTTGTTGCTTCCAAGGCCATGATGGTGCTGAGGATCAAACCCAGTCCTCCATGTACATGCCAGTCTGTTGCGTTACTTCTCTGTCCCAATTTGTTCGGGTTTTCACAGACCACGTTATCAGAGTTGACTGAGATTTGATAATAACTGTTGACCATATCTTGTTGGGAGAATTGTCAATTAACACACCTGGAAGGCAGTCTGGTAATAAATACTAGAATTTTAAATGTGCATTCTTGGAACAGCAGTTCTACATCTGGGAATTTATCTGAAGGAAAAGCTCAACAATGGATGCACAAAATATTTATGCAGCTTTTTTTTGCCTCTTGGATTTTGGGCCACACCCAACTGTGCTAAAGGCTTACTTGGGGCTCTGTCGTCAAAGCTCACTGCAGGCCTGTTAGGCCATGGGGAACCCTCTGTGGTGATAGGAATCGTACCCTGTCTTGTTGGCTGCGTGCAAGGCAAGAGTCTTCCCTGTAGTACTGCTATCTCTCCAGCCTCTAATTGCAGCATTTTTCAGTTAATTGATTTTAGTTACATGGAAGGAATTTTTATAGGCACATAAGTTATGGAGCATAATTTAATGAATTTGACATTCTCACCCATTCTTCGAACTGTTAATATTACTACCAATGCAGTTGATATTAAAGGTGTTGAAAAATGTTTGTGATGAGAGAAAAAATGGATAGAACCTAAATCTCCATTAGTAGAAGTTATCATACATTTGTATAATGCAATATGTAGATACTGAAAAAAAAGATGGTGTTGAATTGTTATATTTTCTTGTTTCCAGGGTGCCATTACATAAAGTCTAAAGTTTAGTAATTAGTAACAATTAGTAGTCAGTAGTTTAATAATTCTTAGGGGAAAGAAACATAGTTCCTATTAACTTTCAATAGTATTCATTTCCGTGTGGGAGAGATACTCTCGGTAGCTTAGCTTGCCGGGCATGCTACCCCTGACGTGATGTATTCGATATGCCAAACACAGTACCAACAAGTCACACTATGGAGACGTTACTGGACCAGCTCGAGCAAATCATCTATGAAAACGGGAGGACAGTGCTGCAGTGCTACAGTATTCATTTACCCATTTGAATATATGAGTGTGTGTGTGTGTGTGTGTGTGTGTGTGTGTGTTTCTAAGACCAAAAAAATAACAAGCCCTTCGGCCACCCTGTGTTGCTCAGGGCTTCCTTCTGGTTCTGCACTCAGGATCACTCCTGGTGGTGCTCAGGGCACCGTGTGTGGGTGCCAGGGCTTGGCCACATTCAGGCAGCTCCCTCCCACTGTGCTGTCTCCAGCCTGAGTCTGACTGAGTCTCACTCACGTCCATGTTCTGGGATTCTGCTGAATTACTTGGGGCAATTAGCACTTAATTTCATGGTGTGTTGCTACTTTTCCTAATCTTAATTAACTTGAGCCTAATTGTCTTTGTGGTTGCGTTTATAATTTTGAAGTATTTGGAGACTTTTGTCGTCCTTTCCGTTTTCCTTAAATTCTTAGATTTGTTTTTATCTTAGCTGAGGGAGTTGGTGCTGGAAAGTAAGCCGTGTTTTTCTGAAAATTGAGGGTAACTCAAAAGGTTTAGACAGATGTTTTATGTTTGTGCTTTTACTTTTGAAATTTTTGTGATCTTGCCTAAACTTGTCAGTTGTTTATGCCTTTAATTGCATTACCTATTGGGTGACAGTCTCCGAGCACATAATGCTACATTAAAATGGAATCTTTGAAGACATTTTGAGCATTAATCAAGGCTCTAAATTTAACTAGATGGTGCTGCCAAATAAAATAATGTAATTGAATAATAAAGTTTGCCTTTGTTTATGATCGGGTTGGGTATGTGCATTGTCTGCTGTTTTGTTTGTTTCCGGGCCACACCTGGCAGTGCTTGGGGACTATTCCTGGCTTTTTGCTCCCGATGTCTCCCAGCATGCACAGGGCACCAAATGTGGTGCTGGCAGTTCAAACCAGGCTCACGGCTACCATAGGTGCATGCAAGGCAAGTGCCTTACCTCTTGTATCATCTGGCCTGTCTGCTGTTTTAGTACTTCTTTGCTTTGGAGCTCTGACAGATCTTTATTGGGGTGGGGCAAGGGAGGGCAAACCTGGAGGTGCTCAGGGGCTACTCGTGGCTCTGTTCTTAGGCATCACTGCTGGCTGTGCTCCATGGACTCACTCTCTGCAGAACTGAGGATTGCACGGAGGTTGGTGCGTGCAGAGCAAGCATCTTAACCCCTTTCTCTACAGCCCCATGACATCTTTTTAATAATGATTTTAAGATTACTTAGTTCTTGAACTAGTAGAATGTGGAAAAGCATGATTCTTGGAATCAAGAACACACTGTGCTTTTTGCAGCTGGACACTTACGGTACTGTGTTGTTCTTTCACTAGCTTAATGGTCTCGAGCGGCAGGAGCTAGAGTCTGGGGCCAGTAATGTCTCTGTGAAGTTGTCTCTCTCTCACCTAACACTGACCACAGTACACAGTGCCAGAACATGGGGGCAGGATCATTTACAAGCACTATTACCCATTTTTATATAAATTTTGAATTCTTCCTCCAGATTGATCTTGGCTTTCCAGTAACCAGACCAGGAAGTCACTGTCACTGTCCTCCCGTTGTTCATCGATTTGCTCCAGCGGGCCAGTAACGTCTCCATTGTGACACTTGTTACTGTGTTTGGCGTATCAGATACATCACTGGGAGCTTGGCAGGCTCTGCCCTGCGGGCGAGATACTCTCAGTAGCTTGCCGGGCTCTCCAAGAGGGGCGGAGGAATCGAACCTGGGTCAGCCGCATGCAAGGCCTACCACTGTGCTGTAGCTCCAGACCAGATTATTTGAGGACCTTGGTTCAGTTATCTTCAAGGAACTGTTTCATCTACCGGTGGTGGAAGTGACCAGGAGTGCCAGAGATCCGAACTTGGGACTCGAGCATTTTCAGCACGTGCTCCAGCCTTTAGAGCCGTCTCTCTCCTCTTATTCTCTGACCCTTGGCCATTGCTCTCTGAGAAGCTCCTGGATATTCTTTCCGTGCTCTGAACTGTGGATAAGAGAGAAATGTGAACTTTGGGTGACATTTCCCTCTAGGAATTATGTAAATTTTTCTCAGCTATTTTTTGTAGAACTTGGGGGCCAGAGTGATATTATAGCAGGGAGGATGTTTGCATTGCACTTGCCTGACCCGGGTTCGATCTCCAACATCCCATATGTTCCCTGGAGCACTGCCAGGAGTAATTCCTGAGTGCAGAGCCAGGAGTGACCCCAGAAGCATCATCACGTGTGACCCTTTTTAGGAAAAGAAATTGGGTAGTTAAGTCTTTTTTT